TGTTATAAAAGCAGTATCTTTTAACACCTTTTATTATACAAGGGTCAAGGGGTTTTTATGTTTCTTAAAGAAAGCTTCAAATAGCCCACATAGTGGGTTACTGCATCTTTCATATGGCTGCTGTATAAACAAGCACATTTTACACAGGAAATGACATAACCATGTTAAAGTGTACATGGAGTTTAGGCACATATTCAAACACTAATGGGAATGCATTGTTTTAAATGGCATACTTTTATGTTTACCTATTGAGCTTAGTACCCATATTTTAGCCAAATACAACAAAAATTATCCACACATACCTGTCTTATAGTGTACTGTTTATTTGAAATTTGGACCTTCACAAAGACTCTCATGGGGCAGATAATGACCCTAAAAAGTAAATACAAATGAGGCATTCTCAGTGAGAGAGTGAAACCTGCCATCATAAAGGTGGAAAGCTGAACTTTTAACCTGTATTGCTTTACAGCTCAGGTTTCTGTGCGTTTCTACCATCCAGTTGCTAACACCAATTCACCCATGGGAAGAAAGCTGTAACAATAATTTAGGGTGTCTATCTTTGCACGTTATATAATGACCAGGCTAAAGAAAGTAGTGCCAAACTTCTGCAATTTCAAGGTCCTCTGTTTCTTTCCAGTTTCTTTGCTGTGTGTCAGCTCCAGACTGTGCCCTATCCCTAAACCTCTGTTTTCAGAGAACAATAAGGGTTGAAGTCCACCTGGATTGTGCTTCTGTGCTTATCGGTGATAATGACTGTTTGTAATGGCCACCATTTCCGTATCTTGGAAAGTTTCAATACATGTTTCTGTTCTCACACCGGATAACTGAAACTGAAGATTTCCATGTAAAGTCTTGACAACATTTGCAACGGTTTGTGAGTAGAAATTGAATGGATATGTGGAATTCAGAAAAAAAAAAAAAATGACAGCTTACTGTGGCAGCATCTTTTTGTTGCTATTGAAATATTAGGCAAATTGAGAATAACAGAGACTGCTTTGAGAAGAGCAGTGAAAGAGATCACTCCCTTCAACACCATAGACTTAAGTGATCATAACCATTCAGTAAGTATCTTATAATTAATTATGGAGACAGAAGTCTGTGCCAGATGATCCCAATGGCTCAAACAATACACCAATAAAGCACCTATAGGCTAGTATACATTTACACCATGGTGAAAGTCACTAGACCACTCCAGAGTAAAATAGTGTTGAATTGGAATTCCCAGAGTTACCAATTTCAGTAACTGAATTGCAGAAGGATACTCTGGACATCATAGCACTCGTTATAAAACAAGAATACTCAATTTGAAAGTTAAAAGTGAAAAAACTGCCATAATCTTGCCATCTACCATGCCCACCATTATAAACTCCTCACTTTGAGCTGGACCAGACTTGAGTAGCGCCAGGAAAAGTGAATGTAATGTTACCTCCAACCATGAACACCTGAGCTGAAATTGCTTCTGTTTAAGCCAAACCCAGTATCTGACAATTTTGATGCAGTAATAATCCATTATAATTCTAGCTTTTTAGTGTCTATTGTTTCAAATTTGTTTAAACTGATATTAAAGATTTACTAGTCTTTGTTTTTTTTTTCCCTTCAAGGTATAACTACTAACCACCAGAATTTTGGGTTTTGAACCATTATCAGAGGGTGTTTTCTAAGACTTTAGTATGTCAGTATTTCTTTTAATTTTTCCTCAGTTCCTACTGTTTGCTTTGGGATAATTGCAAAATCTTAGCATTTTTTTTCCATTTCAGTGCTGATATATATTCCATTTAATTACCTTTCACATGAATCTTTGTTTTGCTTTATTCATATGTTGAAAAATTCATACAAGAACAGGAAACAAGAACCTCAGAGAAATACCTACTAGGTTTTTAAAACTTTTTATCATGACCAGCCTCACCAGGACCCTCAGGCTGATCAACAGCTCTGCAGTGGGAAGTGTTTAGCAATCTTCCTCCTCAGATTTCCAAATTATCATGCGTTACATGTAACACCAATGCTACCTTCCTCCAAAGCTGTTGGAGAATCTCACAAATCCACCTGGAACTGAAGCAAACTGAGCTTTTCAGGCAGTTATAATCCCAGCAGTTAACTTGTCTGTTAAGACAACATAGATTTGCTTCAAGAGACTTTAAATAGGCAGTATTTGCTATTTTAAACTGATCACTCTGAGCCATTGAGGAATGTGCCTGTGTGGTTAATAAATGGCGTGGCACAGCTGTGCCTGTCATATGTGAGAACAGAGATTTCACTGGGAATGTGCACACAGGCACGTGCATGGGGAGCAGCGCTCTTTCATGCAAGGAAGAAAGGAGACAACCCTTTCTCACAGTCATCTAGTCAACTTCTCCAGAAGGTACCTGTGGTCAGTGCTAGAGAAAAGATCCTGAAAAGATGCAAGACAGTCACCTAGAAAACAGCCAGGAGCAAGAAAAGAACTGCTTGAACAGCATGGGCAAAAAAAGTCTGAGATGCCCTCTTGGCTGTGGACTTGGCAGGAGAATGTTTTCTCTCCTACTGGAGCAATGGTATTTCATATCAAAATAAGCTTGTACTACCCCTTGTTGTTTTGAAAGTCATATGAGATTGGCTGGTGATAAGCAGTTAGTGCAGGGGACAGTAACGGATGGTCCTGGTGTAAGACTCCATCAGGGTGAGGAAGAGCAGGATCTGGGAAGTTCACCCACTTAAGAGTCCAGAAGGGAGACAGAGGAGCCCCAGGGACAGCCCTGACCCACAGAATAGACCCATAAGAGGCCAGAATTTCTTAGGTACATGTTACAAAGTAGTTTCAAGTGCTCGTCATTCTACATGTCTGTTAGCGTGCCAGTTAGTGATTTGCGTTCCTGTCGAGTACAGAATTCTGACCCACCTTGTTTTGTGTTACCACATGGCCTGCACCAAGCAGTATCAGTTCCTGCAGGTAGAAATCATGGCGCTAGGCTATTGCAAAGAGATCACACATATGAAAGCTCCCTGCAGTGCTTTTTCTGTATCACCATGCTATCGGTTGTGGTACATGACAGGTCTGCCTGCACAGGGGAACCCCGTGTGTCTGGTGGCAAGGCCATTTATCCAGGTGTTTTAAGCTGGTTAAAGGCTCAGCCACCTAGGGAGCGCAGGAGGAAGGGTAGAGCTCTTTGTCACTGTTTCTCTATGGCTATTGACCAGGAATTTTGGATGGGTTGCCGCTAGTGTGAGCTAGTACACGTCCAGCCTGGCGTACTGACCAGGAGGACCTCAGGGGCCATATTCAGCTCCCTGCCACTACCCACATCAGTGACGCTGTGCAGAGGAGAGTTCAAATCCAGGAAATCATATGACTTGATGTTTTAAACTGTGATGAAACAATATAAAACCTTAGCATTTATATTTTATACTATTGGTAAACTAGTTCAACAATTTCTGATGGTTCTATGGCCTTTATGATTTGTCTACTGTTGAACATCTAGTAACTAGTTTTGTAGGTGGAAATATACACAGAGTAATCCTGCAATAAATTTATAATCCATGTCTAGAATAGATAAAGGGGATAAGCAAACGCACAGCCCTTGAAGGTTGGAATAAAAGGATACCCTAGCACTTTCACAATCATCATTTTTGCCCCAGATACATCAAAAGGTAGTGTCATTCCCCACTAGATCAAACCAGGCCATGCTTTCAGATCTTTCTTCCAATGTTTCCACAGTTTCTCTCTGTGGCAGCAGAGGTAGAGGCAAGCAAAATACATGGACATGTTTTGCATACCACTGGTATTCTGCTGCACTGAAAAGTCCCTTTCACTTGTATTTATTGTACAAAACCATTAAAAAACAGTTTCTTAATAGCATTATAATTATGCAGTGTCCTGAGTTGAGTAAGTGGTGGGGTATTTTTTGGTGGCAGGGGAGTGGGCTATAGGGGCAGCCCCCTGTGAGAAGCTTCTCAAAGCTCCCCCAGCTCCAAGTCAGCTCCACCTCTTCACCAAGGCTGAGCCAATCAGCTGCGCCTCTGCGATAACGTATTTAAGAAGGGACGTGGTGACGGGCAGTGGAACTTGGGAGGAGCAGTTGCTGCAGCTGCATGAACACCAAGGTCAGTGGAGGAACGGAGGAAGAAAGGAGGGGGGAGGTGTGCCGGAGCAGAGACCCCCCTGTATCCTGTGGTGAGACGGCAGGGCGGCCCCCCCCTGCCACCCGTGAAGATCTGTGGGGGAGCAGACATTGATTTATGGCCTGTGGCTTCCGCCTAGATGATCAAGGTGTTGTGCCCGAAGAAGGCTGGGGTCTTGTGGGAAAAGGCAGCCCCGCTGCTGTAATTCAGTGCTGGGAGGATTGCAGCATGCGGGGGAGTCCCACGCCGGAGCAGCTCGGGAAGGGCTGCAGCCGTGGGAGGGAATCCAGTTGGAGAAAGTTGTTGTCCCACGACGGAGCAGTGTGGGGAACACTGTGGCCCATGGGAGCAACTCATGTCACAGAAAGTTTGTGGAGGACTGTCTCCTGTGAGAGGGGGACCACGATGGAGCAGGGGGAACAAGTTCCAGAAGCTCCCCCCACCGAACATGAAGGAAGTGGCAGCGCTGACTGCACCCCCCATTCCCTGCCCCTGCGCCACCGGGGGAGCAGGTAGAGATATCGGGAGCAGAGCTGAGCCCGGGAAGAAGGGAGGGGTGGGGGGAAGGTGTTCTCAAGATGTGGCAATGCTTCTCACTGTCCTACTCTGTTATGTGTTGTTAGTGTCTGTAATAAATGTATGTTCTTTTTTTTTCTTCCCCTAACGAGTCTGCCTTTTGCTCGTGCCCATAAAGGGTGATTTTTCCCCATCCCAGTCCTATCTCGAACCCCAAGCCTGGCTCTCTGTCCCTTCTTATTGCCAGAAGAGAAGGGAGAGAGAGCTGCTGCGTGGTGGTTGGCTGCCGACCAGGCTCAAACCACGACATGCAGAGTTGGACAGCTAGACACAATGTAGCACTGTGTCAATAATTTATTACATCTTATGCCATAACTGAACACTTTTACTATGAGCATTTGAGAACAACTTGGACCTTATACAGAGTAATATATCTTGCTACATAATAATGTAAAGGTGGATACTTAAGAAAGATATGTAGCTTGCAGGAAAACATACATGGAAGCAAATACCTCCTGCATCATCTATCTCCATGTAAAACTTAAAACTAAATCAACATATTATATTTAATGATTCCTTTTTTATATATGCATACTTTCAAGAGCTAATCAGAAAGAAATCATATTACAGTGTAACTATTTACACCAAGATGGGAGCACATCAGAACACAACCTCCTAGACATCAGGACTCTTTTCTTACATTTCTTAATGGACAAAGCACATGGGACTCAGACATAAATTCAGTGTCAAGAACATTGTTCAGAGGATCAAACAGGTCATACCCAGAGCTCACTGATACCATCTCTACCCGCTGCCTCGAGGCTAAAAGCAGGTGATCTAGAGGTGTGGAGATATAATCTTCTCTATCATGGACTTTAGATAGAGCCAGTCTTATGTCACTGATACAAGGCCTTATACCAGGCTGCATGACAGCACCCAAATGCTACAGAAATATGCCCACTGTGGAGAGACATATAGAAGCACTGGATTTATTGCTACATCCTTGTAAACATACTTGCCCTAGAGGTAAGAAATCTAGTTAACCTTGTTTGAGGAGAGGTTATGTTCATATGTGTCATATTACCTTTCATAACATATTCATGTGAGCAACTGTTCTGCTACCTACAACCACACGACTCCACCACCATGTCCTCATATTGTTTGTAGACCACATTGTTTGCAGAGTCAATGAAAAGAATGCTAATAGGACTCAGCCTGGTTGGGACACAGCAAGTCGGGGGTGTTGATTCTGGGTCCATTGAGTTCATTAATGTTTGGATAACTGCATGATTGGTGGGCTCCAGATGAGATCGAAGCGGGAATTCACAGAGCCCTTCGCAGTGATACGCTTCATACTCTAGAGGGGCTATTATCCAGTCATCCCAGCCCATATCCTTAAAATTCACGTGGAGGGCTTTTCTGCTACACCTTGCCTTCAGATTCTTAGTAGGCCTCTTCCCTTGCCGTGTTGCTAGAGGAGCTCTTCTCTTCCGCCTCTGATTGAATAAGTACTCATAAACAGTTTTGTCATCTTGGCCGGATCTAGCTTTGATTTCGTTGAAGAACAAGTCTCTTTTTTTCGTCCTCCCAAATACCAAGAAGAGAGCTTTTTCATTGACCTGTCTTCCTGTTCTATTAAATCCCACACTCCTGAGATCAACAGCTCTCCCCCTGTCAAAAGTTTCCAGTTCAAAACACAAGTTAACCAAGTTTTTAAAGTTCCTGAAAAGTTTCCAGATGTCAAACACTTCCCACTTCGGTGTATCCGTGATACTGACAGTACGAGAGTCCAGGAGTGTTGCTGCTTGTCTGTTTGTAGAGCAACTAAATAATTTCACTTGGGAAGTTTTTCCAGAAGAAAGAGACTTCCATGTATCAGATGGCTTTTTCCTCAATATTCGAAGCTCTGCTCCCAGCAAACCATCTTTTTCTAATGCACTGATGTCAAAAATATATTTTTGTTTTCTTATAGTTGGCGCTCGCTCATCTAAAAAAAGCACACACATTTTTAAATATATATCAAGCACAGATCAATATCAGTTATTCAATTCTTAATGGTTTTCCTGAAGTTTGCTCGTAAGTCTGGAAGTTTCCTTAATTAGCACACCAAACAGAAAGAGCAATTTTTGTCTAAGGGATCAGCCGTGTGCAGGGACCCAGAAGAACCCAGTGACTCAACAGGGAAATGAGTTTCTGAGTTTGCTTTGTAGAAATCCCATTTCTTTCACCGGCAGGCATTTTCTACCTTCAAAGTAGCAATTAGCCAATTGAAAAATAGTCCTTTTTCAGGGCTGAGCACTCACAGGGCCTATTCGCCACTTATATCCTACTTAAATTACTGAAACAGAGCTTCAGTGGTGCCCAGGCCTCATGCTGGCTCCAAACATGAGCAAATTTACCCTTAGACGATACAATAGTGAATTAGTCCTTTAAAACCAACATCCCCCAGGAACTGCCAGACACAAGGATAATTGCCTTATTAACTTAACTCCACATGATTCACAACTTTTTCAAATTGGGCAGAAAAACATACCTCCCTTTAACATGAACTTACATTCACTTGCTTAAGCTCATGAGCAGCACTAACAAGGAATATGGCTGAGCCAACACTTTAGCAATGTTATATTAACAATGCCTTCCAGTGGTGAGCTGAGAACCTGAATGCAGCACTTGTGAGCAGCATATCATCACTTCCTAGAAGCCAAGCTATTCATAATTGACTGGCAAACAAATCCAGTCCCAGCTGAATCTTCCATTACTGTTGCCTTAACAGCTATAGCCTGTGTTGCTTCCTTAAGTACATGACAAAACTCTAACTAATGTCACAGGAGGCAACATGGCTCTCCAACCAGAGTGGTAAGGTGAACATAATTCTTTGGGAGCCTTGTTACTTCTTGTGTGAAAGCAGAAGCCACTAGTCCAAATTTCAAAAAAAGTTTGGAACCAGGAAGTCGAACCGCAAGTTCTGGAGTCCCAGAAGTTGTTACTCTCATTAGTCTGTGCTTAGCTGTAGGCTTCTGTGGATAGAAGTTTGATGGTACCTGAAAGCATGAGCTTCCAGCTAGTACAGATACACTCACCCTACAATATAATAACTCCTGGGTCATCAGTGTAGCTCCTCAGGATTCCACCTTGAACAAATCAGGCCGAGCCTTTGATACTGAAACTTGTGGCTTTTTCATGGAATAGCCCTGTTCTTAGCATATCGTGGTTTTAGGCATACTTTACAACAAAGTCTAATGTTAACAGTTTCCAGGAACTAGTTATGGGAGGAAAGTAAGACTAAAATTTAAAAGATTTTTGAACACCTAAGCATGCAAAGACTGATTTATTTTCAACAATATTCATCTAAAGTATTTTCTAAATGTTTTGTTTGGCTGCTACACAACCTTCTAGTTCTGCCCCTAAATGAATTTTCCAAGATAAGGCAGGAGGACAAAATCTGCAGCAGTTGTATGATTTAATTTGCATTAAAAAGAGCTATTTGACTTTGTAACAAAGTATGATTATTTTCTAATACTCTCTACATGTATAAACACACTCAGACATCTCTGTCCACACACACACACACGAGCTCCTTTCTTACCTTGTCCTTTGTCTATAAAGCTGGTTATTGTATTGGCAAGTCCAGCCTCCAGTTTTACACTTCCATTAACACCTTTTCTTTCTGCATCTGAGAGAGTCCTGTACAAAGAGAGCATGTATTCATGTGGCGTTATAGGGGGATGTCTGAAAGTTTCCTTAGTTTCCCTCTGGGTACCAGGCTCTTTAGTCTTTTTGGTTTTGAAAGAATCAGTGTCAGTACTGCTCGTGCCAGTTTTTTTCAAAGCCACCTTGCTGCTAAGATTTTGAACCTTTGGAGTCACTGTCCTTACTCCAGAAGGTCTGCTGGGGAGTTGTCCTACCTTGCCCTCCGTGGCTGCTGTTCTTGAGAGAACCTTCTTTGATTCATCATTCTTGGCCAGCAGAGCTCCAGCCTGAACAGCACTGCTTTTAGTCCTAGCCTTTGAGGTCCCAGTACTATATCCATGGCTTGCAGTCCTCAGTGTACCTGCCCGTGCTGAAGGATTCCTCTCTTTTCCTTCTGCTTTTAAAAAACCTAGTTTAGATCCTGGATTACTTTGACCTGCTTCAGAATTACTCAGCGCTCCAGGAACTAGATCCAGAGACAGCCAAGTCAAATGCCAAAGCAGTAAAGTGAGAAAATGCAGGATTTTCATCCTCTGGTCTTCCTCTGAATGCCACTAAAGAAAAAATCAGGAAAGGTTCCTCCAGTTTGGCAGAAGAAAACATGAAAGAAATTAAAAACCAAAGTCAGCAAAAATGGTTTTTGTTTGAGATTAAAACATTTCAAATCTTGTTGTTCAATACTTGTATCCAGTCCCATAGTGGAAATGCTCATGTACTCAGATACGAGCTCCTCTGACTTCAGTCAGCAACTATAAAGAACTTGTTCTTGAAAAGAGAAAGTTTACCACCTCGTTTTCTTCTGTAAAACTGACTGAAAACTTGAAGGAGTCCTGTTTAAATCCAAGGTTTTTTTTTTTTTTTTTCCAAGAAGGAAGAATGGCGTAATGCTGCCTCTGTGTTAAAAGGTTTTTTTAAAGTTTTGAATCCTTTCCAGTGAAAATATTTCACACACAGAGACCTGCAGGTGCTCAGAAATCTTTTACAAACCTGAACTCAGGAATTGGAAACGGAATTCCAACAAACCTATTTAATTACTCTCTGATGTCATGCTGTCTAAACTAATTTAACTGCGATATATTTCTTTAAAAAAATCTTCTTTACCCTTTTCATTAGCATGAGTCATACTCTGCCTCATGTGAAACAGCTCCACAGGCTCAAAACTCCAGAGGATGCCTTTTCAAGTGGCAATATGACCTCTACCTTAGCCTTCCATGAACTTCACATTTAAACGGGACAGACTGCAAGATCAACAACTGAGACCTGTCATACAGTCCACTGGACACATACATTAAAATATCTGAATATAATTCATTTAGCTCTTTTTCCAGAGAACTGTAACAGTGGCTTCACTTTGTCCGCCAGTGATGGAAGGGCTGAGCTGGTAATGCAGTCGCTTAAGAAGGGTAAAGTTTAATTTTTCAGAAGCGCAACACAGCCATGCCCACAGTCAGTGTATTTTGGCGTATTTATTGCTATGCTTTAAAAAAGTCCATAGAAGCCCAGTTGGAGAAGAAGCTTCTGCCGGTGGGGATGCCTGCAGGGTGGGCGGTGCAGTATGGGGCAGCAGTGCACCCTGCAGGCAGCCAGCCTCCTCCTCCAGCCAGACCACTCGGGGAGCTGGAGACTCCCTGAAACCCCAGGCTTTCCTCCAGAGGCTGCTGAACGCCTGCCTTTGTTTTAAAACTAGACACAAAATTTTCAAGAGCCACCTACCCCCTTGCCACAAAAAGGCTGGTAGTTAGAAATCAGCGTTACTTACATGTCCAGGCTATCCTACTGCTTTCAGCTGTACAAAAGAGAGTGTGGAGCAAGCGTGTCTTTCATAAGCTGCAAAAAATGAACTGTTGTTGTTCTAAATGAGCCTTTGGGAAATGAGGCACAGGGCTGGATTGAACAGGGATTAATGGAACCCTTCTCTCATCTTGCACTGATGCTAAACCCAGTCTTCCTCCCTCAGTTGTTTTTATTTCTGAGGCAAGCAGAAAGGGAAAAGATACAACACTTTATAGCTTGATTTGTGTGTGCTGTAGTATTTCCCACCTTGACTAGTATCAGAAACACCAAACTACTTTCATAAATAACAACCTGCAGCCCTTTCTACATGAGGAGCTCTGAATGCTTTACTGTGTTTTGATGGAGGAACTGAAGGATACAAGAGTTCAGTCATTTCACAGATGTCACAAATAAGGTAGATCCAAAAACTCACCCTCCTGATCAACTTAGTGGCCCTTCCTCTGATGTCAGTTGTAGTTTTGATATTCCCCATCAAAACAAAGCAGCTTTTCACTGAGTTACTTCTGATGAAACCATTCATTCCCCAGCAGTCACTCCACACCATTACCATGGCCCTCCAAGCCACGCCATCCTTTTATCCGTCCCATATTGCCCACCGTCTTGCTGGGCAGGAGGTGGTGTGCCATGTCAAGTTCTGTGCAATGGGGGTATTGATTAGCTTGCCAGTAGGCCACAAAACCAGCTAAAGGTTGAGCTCCCACTTTTAATCAAGCAGGTAACTTGTGCTATTCCTGAGAAGGACTCTGCTGCTGCCTGGGTAGGACTTCAGCTGGCTGGAGTTCAGTGTCAGTGCTGCATCCAAATGACAAACATCTACAGGTGACAATGCAATCACAAGGTGTGCGCTTCAGGGAGCACATCAGGTGTTAGTGCATGCCTGTGCCCAAGCATTAAAGAATATTAGAAAGAAGTTAACATTGCTGGCTCATAGACAGTTTTTCATCCACTCATACCCCCAAGCCCTTCTCTGCAGGGCTGCTCTCAACCACTCCTCGCCCAGCCTGGATTTGTGTTTGAGATCACCCTGACCCATGGGCAGGACCTTGCACTTGGCCTGGTTGAACTTCATGACGTTTGCATGGGCCCACCCCTCCAGCCTGTCAAGGTTGGATGGCATCCCTTCCCTTCAGTGTGTCTGCTGCAATGACACCTATGTGGTAAGTCCAGAAAGCCAGGCACAGCATGAAAAAGGAAACAGCATTTTTGGATGACACTTGGAATCAATGGAAAGCCAGTTGTCTTGGGATCTGAGTAGTCTCAGAACAGTCTGGAAAAGAATCTCAGAATACCTTATGCAAGTTGTCCTGAAACACTATGGGAAAGAATGAAGCGGGGCCACTGGTAATCAAGCCTGATGATGACAGCCCTGCTGAGACCGCAGCTTTTCGATACCAAGGCTGGGAAACTCTTGTTTCCACTGTGGATCCAAGGACACAGGAGCCTCAGAGCACTCAGAGCTGCCCCCCCATCCCACAGCCCAGGCACAGCAGGCCAGGGGGAGGTGTCAGAGAGCACATGGTTGGAACCATCCAGCTGCTTGCTGTGACTCTGACAGTGGAGACTTTGGACACCAAGTCTGAGATGGTGCTGAGACACAAGCAGATGCTCTGAGCATGTACAGAGCAGCACTTTAGTTCATGAACATATGAGAAGTTGGGACAGTGTAAAATGATCCACCCACCCAGCAGCAGTGTTGTAGATGGAAGTGCATCATATTTATAGATTGACCTCATCTAGCTGCAGTTTCAGGAATTTTCTTTCTTTTCTATCTTTGTCTCATTTGACAGGAATTCATAGCTTTAAATTAACCCCTCTCTTCATCTTCTGATCCACAAGCTAGAGCTCCTTCAGCCACTTTGTATAAAGCAGGGGTTTCAGAGATCATTCCCTAAACCCTTTTTTATCATCTCTGCTTCACAAGATGCTACCCTGAGTCCTGAGTATCTCTGGTTTTGCCTAGATTTCTAATGATGCTTGAGTTATATTAAAATACATGGAGCTGAATCCATCTCAATTATATTTAGGCTGTCACTGTATTGGAGATTATTATCTAGACAGCCTTAATAGGCAAGAGAGAAAAATAAGATACAAACGAGAACTGCAGAAAGACGTACTTTGCAGTAATGATTTGGTAATTGCTTCACCACCTTGCACCATTTGCATGCTCCGCATTTCCAACTGGCTGCTACGTGCAAATGAAAATGTCTTCCACATAAACCCCTGCGAGGGCTCTGGCAGCTGTGCCTCCCGTTGCTGCTATTTACTGGACTGGCTCTCGCTGGAAAAGCTCTGAGGGCTGTTGGCTTAAAGACGCCTTCTGCAGCCCAAGCACTTTTGTCCTTCTCACAGGAATTGCTATGGCACTCGTCCTACTCGCTGGGTGAGGCCGGTGTGCCGATAACTGCGTCCGGAGGACCCTACACCATCACAGGCCGTTCAGGAGCTTCCCCGCCCGCCGAGCGCAAACCCCGGCGGCAATGGGTGCCCGCCCCTCCCGCGGCTCATGGCGGCCGGGCCGGCGCCGACACCCCCCGGGGCGCAAACCGCTGCCGCGCCGGCCCCTTCCTTCCCCGCGGCGGCGCCGCCAGCGAGGAGCGCGAAGGGAGGCGCTCCCGCCGAGCGGCCCCGAGCGAGCCCGGCTCTCCCGCCCCGCGGCCCGGCGCCCGCTCCCGCCCGGCGGGCAGGCTGAGGCGCCGCGCCCGCCCCGGCAGGCGCCAGGCCGCGACCCGGGGCCGCCCGAGCGCGGCCCGCCGGGGCCGGCGGCGGAGCGGCCCCCGCCGAGGGGCCTGGCGGGCGGCGGAGCCCCGCGGGCGAGCGGGGGCCATGGCGGCGCGGAGCCGGGGCTCGCTCTCTCTGCGGCGCCGGCTGCAGAGCTCGCAGGAGGCGCAGCGGCGGCAAGCGGTGCTGGTGCGGAAGCTGCAGGCCAAGGTGGGGAGCGGGGGTGCCTGCCCGGGGCTGAAGAGCTTTCTGCCAGGCAGGACTCTATCAGTTCCCTGCTGCACCAGCACAGACAGCAGGAGGAAAAGTGCAGGAAGCTGCAGCAAAGGCTTGAGGAACTGGAGGAGGAATGCAAGACGTCCTGCAGCCACCAGCAGCACCTCCAGTCTCTGGTAGAAGCACTCAAAAGGTGAGTGTTTCCTCCTCCTCCTGTGTTCTGGAGGCAGTCTGCTTCCAGTTCTGGGAGTTCCGAGGTGGTGTGGGCGAAGAGCTCACCTGCCCTATCACGCGTATGCCTCTGGCACGTCAGCATCCTCCTGTCACTGCTTCCCATGCTCTCTTGTGAATCCCAAGGCTGTCTTGGGGATTCCCAGCAACGTTGGAATACAAGACACCTCCCTCTGAGCATGCTGCTCCTCTGAGTTTTGTTCTTTGGGTGCCCTTGCCTAGCCACGGCTTCTCACTGAAAGAAGGCAAAAGCCTGCCTTCCTTTCTCCGTCCCTCTTCAGCTACCTCATGAGGGGAAGAGCGAGGCCTTCCTTATCGCGCTCCCCCCAGCTCCGTCCTGGAATGGCTGAAGTGGGATCTGTGGCTGTTGAGGTCTCTTCACTCTTCTGACCGAGCCTCATCTCTCTGCAGTGACTGTGCAAGCCTTGAGAAAACCAGGGAAGAGCTACAGCAACAGCTTGAGGTAACAGAGCAAGAAGTCTGGCGTCTGCGCCAGAGTAACACTGAGCTGCAGCTGAAAGAAGATTCAGCCCAGGGGGAAAAGGTGGAGCAGCAAGAGACGGTGGAGAGAGCACGTCATGACCAGGAGCTCCTGTGAGCATGAAAGCTTTCTCTGGGCAGGGCTGGGTGTTGTGGGAGGTTAGGAGGCCCACCGTAAAAGAGCAAATTGTGCATGTGCATCATTTGTGGCCCAAAGCGGGGAAGGGAGCGCGTGGGCGGGTCTGGCTACCTGCTGCCCCGCAGCACAGGTGCCTCCTTGTACTTTTGTGAGCCTTTAAAAAAACCGTTCCAAACCTGAGCAGGGTAGTTGATGACAGGCATGAGCTGAAACGAGAGGTTCAGACTGGATTTCAGGAGAACAAAAAATGGCACCATGAAGGCAACCGTGCAGCAGAACAGGTTGCTCAGAGAGGTTGTGCAGATTCCACCCCTGGAAATTTGGAAGGCCCAACTGGATAGAGCCTTGAGCAACCTGGGCTGCTCCCATAGCTGACCCCAGCTGCTCTGAGCTGGAGATTGGGCTTGAGGCCTCCTGGGTCCCTGCTAGCCTGAATCAGGCTGTGATCCTGTGATAACTGAATTGGAAATGCAGAAAAACCTATCTTTGTGTTTGATCTGGACATGCTTCCTGATAGATTAGTCCAGTGTGCTCCATTCTGGTATTGAAACAGACTTGAAACATTAATTTCCTAATCGGCCAGTTAATGGCTTTACAAAGGTCTGTAGTATTTACAGCTCCCTCTCTCGCAGCCACTTTTTGTCCATCATGAAGACTCCATATTTACATATTCCTCTTAGGGAAACTATTTAACATCTTCGATCATCTGCTTTGACCTTCACTCTATATTCCCCCATCTAGACTTCTACTCTCTGTCCTTGTATAACTAAACATTATGCAAGATGTGGGTGAAGCATGTATTTCTGAAGAGATAAATTAGTATGGTTTTGTTCTCTATGCTCTTTACCTGTTACATCATCATTACAGAACTGCTCTTTGAAAGAAATCACATTATCAACCAAGGCCTGTGCATTGCTCTGAACGTAGTCAGGAGCCACCTCCCATGTCTTGGGTTTCTTGATGAACTGCTCCTTGAAGCAATCTCTTGACACATCTATAAATGTAGTCTTGATATCGGCACTATACCAATCTATATGGATGCAGCTGCATTACCTGCTATAATGCTGTTGCAGACCTCATCTGTATGGATGCAACTGAAGTCTTCCATTGTTTTCATGTTTCCTGCCCTTGTCACTTCTCTGCTTCCCATCAACAGATCACAATACACATCACCATCCCGATCTGGCTGGTAGTGATATTTCTCAAATAATGTAGAAAGGTATAATGCATAAATTTGGTATTTTATTAGCAGCATCTTTTATGGGCCTGTATACTAACATAACACTAAAAGCATTGGCAGAGTCCCAGGCAAGTTTGCAGCTGTTCAACTAGCACTATCGTAGTCAGATCACCTTGGAGAAATCCACACAAATTTGCATTCTTGCTTTTTGGACTGTGGCACAAGTACATCCAGAATGTGCAAAGAAGCCTTTAACCTGATCAGGCAATGGTACAAGTTCCATTATTTTCAATACACTGGAAAAGGTGTACCTCAGTAATCTACATGTCTGAAAGCATCCTCTGAGCACCATCAGTGTAGCAGCTGTTCAGCCATGGTGATAAAATTCTGCTAAGTTCAGTTCATCAGCCCCGTCAACTATGCCCTTTCCTTTTCATGCCAAATCCTAATCATGACACGTTGGCTAAGCTTGCCTGGATAGGAGAGAACCAATTACCCACCCCCAAGTTTTTGACTTGAGGTAAGTTTAACGGCAAGCTGCGTAGTTCTCTCTGTCTCTCTGGCAGGTGATCTCTTCATCCTTCTTTGTGAGAGTCTGCTGAACATGCTGGAAATCTTCCCGAAGAGCTCTTACTTCCTCTTCTAACTCTTTTTGCTTACCTTGAGCCTTGGTCTCTTGTTCATTCTCAGGCCAGGCTTCCTCCAGGAGCTTCTCTTGCTCTTTGTGGTGTCTAACCTCATCGTTCTTGGTTAGCCTAAGCTGGAGATTCTGCAGGGTCTTCAGTTCTTCTTGGCAATGGAGATTTTGCCTAAGAGTTTCATTGTCTTTTTTTTCCTCACCACTTCCTCAAGCAGATTCACTTGCTTCTGACCTGATGTTAGTGCTACTTTCATGCTTTCTTCACGACGCTGGAACATGTTCATTTGCTCTGTCTGCCTGAGGAATTCCAAATGGTTCTCCTCCAATATTTGTCTCATTTTGTCTAGATCCTGCTCTAGACTCTTGTGCTTGCCTTCTGACCCCTTCTGCTCTCAAAGGTCCTGGACATGCTCTTACAGAGACACTGTCTCTTCATTTCTAGCTTCTAGAGAAGATTCATCGTATTCTAGTTTTTGCATTATAGCTTTAGTCTGCATTGCTGCCTCCTCCTTTTGCTATTGAAGCTTAGAGATAGCCTCCTCCAGAACCCCTATCTTTCTTTCTCCTTCTTTCAAAATCTGTTTTGTTGCTTGAGATTTGTTCAGCTTCATGTTTCTCCTCCTCTTCCTTGCATGCCTCACATTGCTTTCTAAGGGATATAATTTCTTGCTCCTGTTCCTTTAGCATCCCTTGAAGATGTTGCAGAATTTCCTTCTGCTGTTCAGCGTCTTGTTCTTTTTTTTTTTGAAGGTCTCAATCAGTTCCTTCTCAGATTCAATCAGGAAATCCTTTTCTTTCAGTATTGCCTTAGTGTATTCTAAGTCTCTGTGTAGGACATTCATCTGTTCTTTTTTTTTTTTCCTCATATTTCCGTGTTTGTTGCCTTTGGGTGTATATGAGTCTGTCCTTTTAAGGTTTCTAAGGCCTGCTCCAGTTGGTCACAGACAGTCCTTTGCATTTCCATGAGTTCTTCAGCTTCCCGGATTTGCTTTTGTTGCGACTCAAGCTCTTGATCTTTTTTAGACAAAGAAAGTGTCATCTTTTCTACTTTACCATGAAGCTCTTGCAGGTGCCCCTCTTGCTGTTCCTTGTGCTGCTGCAAGAGTCTTAACTGATCCCTTTGAGGATCACACTCGCTTTCTTTGTCCTTAAGAGCTGCCCTCAGCTGTTCAAGGCTTGTGTGCAGAGATTTCACCTGTCCTCTCCCCATTTCCAGTTCTCGGATCTGCTGAGTCAGAGACATAAGCTCGATGTTTTTCTCCTTCGAGTTTCCTTTCATATGATCAAGATCCATGAGCAGGTTTCTCACTTGTGATGCACCACATTGTTCTCAAATCATTATTTTCCCCTCTTGTAATTTGATCTCCTGGTCCCTCTCCTTCAGCTCTTTGCTGGTCTTGCTCACTATAGTCCTCTGCAATTCTCGCTGCTCCTCCAGCTCCAATATCAGTTCGTGCTGGGATCTGATCTCCCAGTTGCTCTAAGTACCTGTTATATAGACTCAGCGTACTCTCAAATTGAAGAACTAGAATCCTTAATCACCAGGTATGAAAAAGCTATGACACACTGAAAACTATTTCTATCGAACCCAATGCTGGCTGGATTCTCAGAATCACAACAGAAATTGAACAAACTGTTGGACATCACTAGAATGACATTGTTACGGAATATGCACCATCTGCAAGTGGAATATTGCATCTTAGGTTACACCCTGTGATCGTTGTATCATTGTCTTCTGTTTTATTAGTTTTGTTATTAGTATGCTTGTATATCCATGCATATCACTTACCTGGCTGTGTTGAAAGAGAGTGCCACCAACTGTTACCTGATTACACACTGTGAAGCCAGACTTAGGTGAAAGTGCTCAAAACCTTCCCCACCCCTCACCTCCAGCAAGGCAAGAGGAGCAACGGAACCTCCACTTGCCGAAGCAGTGGGTTTGATAGACATTTGACTATACCAAGGGGTGGAGTGTGACTCTTTACTCAACTCCTGCTCAGATTTTGGCTAGCCCAGCTCATGCTGAGGCCTGATGTGTGGTGGGAGCAGAGCCGGGAGGTTGAAGCGAGAGCACCGGGTAGGCAGCACGGGTGTCCAGAAAGAGCTGGCGGGTTATGATGCAGCCATGATCACCCGCAGGTGGCTGGCTTCTGCAGCCATCATCTTTGTCTGGCAGTATTTTCAGATTCTGCTGACTTTTGGACATTGTCTAGAGCAGAGTTCTAAGCTGGATGGTATAAAACATCTGCTTGGCCCAAAAGCTTCTGAAGCAGATCCAACAGCCACTGGACTGCTGCGGTTTTTGCACTTCCCGCTGTGATACAGGGGATGCCCACACTGTGATGGAGGAGGATGGATGAGCTCTCTCACTTGGGAACTTTTTTTTTTTTTTTTTTTTTTACCTCACAGGCATGCAAATTAAATGTTACCGGTTCTAAGTTGTGGAACCTCATGATTTGTGTGGTAAGTGGACTCATGTGACAGACTAGTCTGGGCAAAGGGGACCAAGCTGCATTTGTCATGTTTGTTTGTTGCATTTCTTCACGAGCTCCTGAACTAAAGTTTAATTCACAGAGTCTATTGCCGCGTAAGTTTTCTCTCCCGTGCCGGTTTTTCGCTGCTTGCAGCCTGTCCCGTTCCTGCTGCAAAAGCCGCACTCGACTGGCAGTGCTGCTCCAGTGGCAGTAGCGGGCTGCGGTCTGAGCTTTTAGGAGGGAGCTCCAGCCGCTCAGCCGGCTTCCCTGCGCGACGGGCCTTTGCTCCTGCCGCTGCCGTCCTGCCCCTCTCGCCCCGCGTTCCCACACCCCCCGCACCGACGCTCTCAGGGGCTGTTCCCTCCCTCCCGCCTCTCCCGGCACCCACCCAGAGCGCGTTCCGCTCCCAACGTTCTCCGGGGCCGTTAACGGGCTCTGAGCACAACTCGCCCCGGGGCGCAAACCGCTGCCGCGCCGGCCCCTTCCTTCCCCGCGGCGGCGCCGCCAGCGAGGAGCGCGAAGGGAGGCGCTCCCGCCGAGCGGCCCCGAGCGAGCCCGGCTCTCCCGCCCCGCGGCCCGGCGCCCGCTCCCGCCCGGCGGGCAGGCTGAGGCGCCGCGCCCGCCCCGGCAGGCGCCAGGCCGCGACCCGGGGCCGCCCGAGCGCGGCCCGCCGGGGCCGGCGGCGGAGCGGCCCCCGCCGAGGGGCCTGGCGGGCGGCGGAGCCCCGCGGGCGAGCGGGGGCCATGGCGGCGCGGAGCCGGGGCTCGCTCTCTCTGCGGCGCCGGCTGCAGAGCTCGCAGGAGGCGCAGCGGCGGCAAGCGGTGCTGGTGCGGAAGCTGCAGGCCAAGGTGGGGAGCGGGGGTGCCTGCCCGGGGCTTCCTGCCCGCGGGCGGGCCGCGGCGGCGGGGCCGGGGTGCCCGGGGTGCCCGGGCCGCGCTGAGCGGGGACAGCGAGGAGGGTGCCCGCGCCGTGCGGGGGGTCGGGGCGGGCCGAGCCCTGCCCGGGCCGGAGCCCGGCAGTGGTCGCGGCGCTGCTGTAAGGTCAGCGTGCTTTTCTTGCCGGGCTTGTCTCCTGCAGCTGGGCAGAAACGCACGCTTTGTGGTGGCAGAGCAGGGCTGGGGGCAGAACTAACCTTACTCGCTAAATGTTGAAAAGCAATTTTGAAAACTTGTTTCTCTAACTTGAGGACCCGCTGGACTTGTAGCGCGTTGGAAATACTGTTTTGGGGTACATAGTGGCCATCAGCCTGGCACGCCTGTCTAAGCCTGTCATGAGACACATTCTGTTTGCCGTCACTGCCTTAGGATGAGCAGATAGCACTGTGTGTGAAAGAAACCCTGGCTCAGTTTCTTTAATGTTAGAGAAAGTGAAGCTTCCCTGTATCAGAATTACTTCTTGTTGACTGTATCAGCTGCAGTGTGAAACGTACTGTGCTTGGGCTGTAAAGACTTAGAGAAAAGCTACTGCAGGAGGAGCCGAGTCTGTTACAAGCTGCATTCGCTCATCTTCATTCTGTTTATCCATCTAGGTACTCCAGTACCAGACTTGCTGCCAGGAGTTGGAGCAGCAGCTGGAAGCAGGAGGGGTGAGTGTGCAAGTTTCTAACTGAAGATAATGTACGTAGCATTCATTAATGCAGACCAAAAAAAGAAGCTCCCCAAAGCAATGACAGGAAAACAGGATTTTGCTATCGGAGGGTTTAAAGTGCTGTAAGCTTGCCTATTGGCATTATGTCCAGCTGCCATTCTTAGAGCAGCCAGTAGTCCCAGAAAACCCTATCAGGGAGGATTTTAGTTTTGTGAAAGAGTGGTTTGTTGCAGGAGTAACATTTTGCCCCAGGTCGCAAGAGGGGCCTGTACTACCTGTTACATTATATGGCTGTCTCTGAAAATGAATCGATTGAAACGCAGCATTTGGAGGGCAAGAATGCTGGTGTTCAACATACAGAGCTAGCTCTGTGCTTTTCTTTGTTTCCTGGCTGAAGTAAACCTAGGAAATGAAGGGTAGGAGAGCATTCTCAGGCTTCAAGTTGGAGTACTGACGGTCACAAGCTGAGGATACCTAGCTGTGAGAGTGCAACAGTGGGAGACTGAAGAGAGCTCCTCAAATTGAGTAACAGCCTTCCTCTCTGTAGTCATGACACTGTTATGCCTGGAAGAAGCCGTGATCTCATGAGATGCCCAACAAATAGAAGGGAAAGTGATGTGTGCTAATGGTAGTGAAGGGAACACAAGAATTTGACTAAACGTTTCCTTTCTTAAGGGATCCCTTCCAGACAGGTGGGGAGCCACAGAAGACCACAGCCTGGAGAAGGCACTGCTTCAGTTGGAAGAGGAGCAGCAAAGGTAAAAGAAGTGTTACCTCAGACTTGGTATCCTGGATGCTCATGGAAGTGGGAGAAAACCTCTCGGTGCTACGTGGTCTCCCTAAGGGAAGCAGTTGGGCAAGTTGTTTTGAAAGGAGAAAGGTCCACAATCTGTTCCGTGGTGCAGCAATAGTGTTGTGTGCTGAATGGCTCTGTTCTGAGCGGAGAGTTATTCTGAGTGACCTCCAAAGGTCCATTTGATGTGTAAAGTATTCCATGTTTCCTGGAATAATTCGGGTGAGCGATTCAGGACAATGCTAGAGAATGGTGATGCATCCAGTGGTCAGACAGCACGAACGGGAGGCGAGACATTAACTGTGAGCATCATCAAAGTTGAAGAGGAAACCGAATCTGTAGATGGAAATTGAAGGCCCAAAGCAAGGAGAAGCAAATGAATTTGCCATCAGAGAGAGATCTTAGTTAATCCTAGAAAGCACTTTTTCTGCCTCTCTGTTTGACAACAAAGTCAGTGTTGAAGGAGTTGGGAAATGACAGGGATGCTCCTTGTGGATAGCAGTTGTTGCGTGATCTCATTGCTGTTTCTCCCTTTCCAAGGTGTGAGAATCTGGCAGAAGTGAATACTCTCCTGCGGGAGCACCTCAATAAAGCGAGTGAAGTTAATTCGGCCCTTAAAGAAGATATTGGAAAACTGACGTCAGATTGGATGAGGGCCCGGGAGGAGCTGGATTTGAAGGAGAGTGAGTGGCGCGATGAACGTGAGGTAAGGGATAGGCTACGGGTGTGTCCAATGTGATGCCAGAGTAGAACAAGAATGCATTTTATTTCTGGCATAGCAAAATGGCTGTGTGAAAGTTGTGGCTATGCTGAGGATGTCCTGGTGTTGACTAGCGGAAGACAGGGGTGTGAGATGGAGGAGTGTCAGCAAAGCGTGGGGATGGAAGATGCTCACCTGCTGTGACCATACTGCTCGGTCTTAATGGCAAACGCTTGCTGTTGCTGGGTGCCGTAGGGCAGTCACACATGAACACTTGTCCCTTCAGTAGTTCCTAAATCTCTATCTACAGCAGTGCAGACCAGAGAGGTCTGTGTGTTTTCCGATTCAGAGTAACCAACAGAAGAACAGGACAGGCCTCCCATACCAATAACCTGTTGTAACCAAATCCGACACTGGTCCTGGAGGGGCTTCTTTTTGTCTTCCTCCACCAAGACTGTTAGACATCTCTGCAAGGCGAGACAATGAATCGTGATAGGTTTGCTTTGATGATACTCATTCTTGCGGGAGAAGCGTGGATGTTCCCTTCTTTGAAGTCAGGTGGCAGGTCTACTGAGGATGCTTCTGTGGTACCTCTTTAGTCCTTGATGTCCCTGTTGTAGGAGTTATCAAAGGACACCTACTGATGGTGGTTGTACTCTCTCCTACCTGAAAGACTTGTACAGTGACAGTGGAGACTGAATTGGCATTTCTTTTTGTCTTTGCACATTTAGCTTTATGACAGCTACTTCAGGGGTGAGCGTAACCGTCTACTGAGCCTGTGGCGTCAGGTGGTAACCTTCCGCCGTCACTTCCTGGAAATGAAGACCGCCACTGACCGGTGAGAGGAAGTTCAGGCTAGGTCTCTTGCAGAAAAAAAGTAGCTTCCTTTCACAGCTGCTTTTTGAACCTTGATGTTACTTTAGTTGCAGCTAAAGATATGATTTCTCCTTTGGTAGTCTGAAGCACTGCCATTAAGCATGCTTTAGGTTATTTCCTGAATCATTTTGTTTGATGCTGGTTTTCAGACAAAAGCGAGGGGCTTGGGCTATAAACAGTGCAGAGGCCCCGAATAGATGAACTTGACTATGTCAATGTTTGGGCATATGAACACAGACATGGGCTTATGTGGGCACATTGGAAGAGACACCAAAGCTATGCATGCAGGATGTAGAGTGGTCCCTTTTATAGAGTGATTAAAATCTGCCTTAAATCTCACTGGCTTTCTTTTCCCACTGCTCTTTATGGAAAGATTGTCCATGAATATATATATTTTTCTTCTCATTTTCAGTTTACATTTATTCTTGTCAGTTTGCATTTGCTTATTCCTGTAACAGCATTGTTGAGAGAAAGAATAGCTCCTCTACCCTATTACTGCATTTATCCAATTTATTTTGCTTAGTTTGATACCTCCTTTTTATGATTGTTTTCTTGTTCTTGGGTTCCCTGAGGTTCCTTTCTCACAGTTGCCTTCTATGCAACCAAAAATAGTGTAGCTGTAATAGTATGTTCGTCTGGTGTCAGCGTGCAATTTCAAACTCTGGGTTACTGTCAGCCATTTACCTTACTTGATTATGGGCTTTCCTTAATGTGTAGTGCATGCCTGACCTGCTAGTTAATTCTTGAAGCCTTCTTGCTGTTCCATACATTTCTTCTTATCTCTGAGGAGAAAATAGACTCATTCTTCAACCATCAAATAGACCCATTGCTCAACTATCAAGATGTGATGTGTCCCGATCCCAAAGTGTCAGATGAATGGCTTGTCCCCAGTGAAGATGTCACCTTTCCTGCCAGCTTTTACTGTTCAAAAGTGAGTCAGCTGATAGAGATGGTGGTGTGAATATTAGCTCTTTCTTGATTCTTCTTCAGAGATTTATCAGAGCTGAAGGCAGAGCAAATGAGGCTTTCTGGATCTATACTTGTAAACTGCTCCCGCCAGAACTCTGGCATACAGCTCTGGGAGCCGGCCAGGATGGGTAGAGCTGTACTAAAGGATCATGCACAACAGCAAGGAGAACAGGAGATAAGCCACAAGGGTCAGGAAGTGCCAAGCTTCCAAGTCAAGGGGGACCTGGAGAAGAAGGAGCTTCAAGACAGGTAAAGGTGTTTTAAACTTTGCTATTAACAACATTATCTTTGGTGGTTGCTTCTTGGATTCATAGATGGGCTGAAGTTGCAAAATGGCACTTCTTGCACCAAAAGCCTTCTGCACAGCCTTGTTTCTCTCCCTAGTCAAATTATTGCCTTCACCAGAAAGGATGGAAAAAACCATCTGACTGACAGAAGCTTTTGTAGTACAGGGCTGGAAAAGAGATTGCATATTACAATGGTTTTGTTGTTAACTGATTCTTGGTGAGAAGTTGAGACCAGTATACAGAGAGCCGTGTCTCTTGTACAGCCCTTTTGCTACCCAGGGCTGTGCTTAAGGAGTTGGGAGGAATTTGCCCAGGACCGTCGTATGCAGTGTAGCACCTCTGTACTGACTTTCCCATGCAAGACTGAGTGCAGAAGGCTTTTGGGGCAAAAAGTGCCGTTTTGCGACATCGAGTGTATTAACCTGTGGAGATGAATGCTGCCTTTGCTGTGTTTTCTGGATTGAACGTTCTCTGCTGTGCTTCTGGGAGCTGCTTAGCTCTCTAACAGGTGATGGTGTGCATTGCTTTTGGAATGGCATGTGGACCTTCTCTTCTCAGGGTGCTGGAGCTCTCAGCTTTGCTTGTACAGTCTCAGAAGCAGAACGAGGAGAAGGAGAAGACCGTGAAAACACTTAACGACACTGTGGAGATTCTAGTATGTTTTACCTTTATTTGGGAGGTAGCCCAATGTTTTTTTTTCCAGCCATAGCACAAAGAGGTGTGGCTTCCTCAAGAGAAAGTGTGGTAAAGATGCTAACTGTAGGGGAACATCAGGCACATTGCCAAAATGTTCCTTGTGCATTTGGCACGTGTGGAGTCAGTCCAGGTGCAGGCAGTTGCAGGGGAGCTGCAGACAATTCAGGGGAGTTGCACCAGTGTTATTCTGCCTGTGACTTTTAAGTCTCTAGGGATCAGAGTTCCTTGGAATTGACAGCTTTAGAGCAGCCTATGAAAACCAGCTGTTGGTCTTTCTCTTCCTAGTTTTAGCAAAGAAGTAATTGAGTAGACCTGGGAAGGGATATCCTGGAATGGCTAGGGCTGAAGCTTGTCAGCATGACAATGCTCCTGAGGATGGGAATGCTACAGAGGGGAGCAGCTCTTCCCCACCCACCCTTTCCTTATTCTATTATTAGGAGGCATGTCGGTTAGAGAAAGAAAATGAAGCGACATTGACTAAAAGAGCCAAAGAAGAGAATCTCTCCCTCCAAAAGGTGATAAAAGATATAACTCAGGTGAGTACAGAGTTGGGACCACTTCCCTGTAGTTTTGATTTAAAGGTACTGGAGGAAGGCAACAGACTAGCCCAGGGAATAGTTATATATGTTGTACTGTCTATGTTAACTGCTACTGGCTGTTTGATTTTTATACCGCTTTTTTTTTTACGTAAAACTTGTTACAACTTCCAAGTTGGCTGTCCTGTGGCCCTTGAGCTAAGTCACTGGAAGTTTAAGTACCTTTACCTTTACCGTTGTGCTAAGGTCTCTATTTGACTGTGCTTTCTGAGTTGGCTAATTGACATTTGTATTCCAGTGTCACGTGGAGGCTTTCCCCCACCCTCCTTGAGCAATGACTCTGTTGTTCTTCAGATTTTTAGAAAAGGTCACTGACTGAATTGATGCACTTGCCAACTCTGCTCCTTCACTCTACATTCACTGACCGTTATTATCTCCCCAGAATCGCAACTGATCTAATTGTTTAGGGGTAACTTTAACCTAGTGCTAAACTTCACTCTGTGGAGGGGGATTTAATCATCAGATCTTTCACACGGCCTCTCCAAGTCAGTTCCTTCCCCTTATGTAGTCATTTTTATCCTCTTGTGCTACTGCTCAGAGTAATTATAAACATTCACTTTTTCATTGCCGTTTTCAAGTATTTATCAGCTTCCTTCTTCCCTGGATAGCGTTAATGTTTCCTTTCATTGCTACTTCCAGTTTTGAGCGGGTGCTTGTGTATGTGGCTCTAAGATGCTGAAGGACACCAAAATCATTCCTGAGAGCTTCAAGAAACTGAGCTTTCAGGCAGCCTCCAGACACTTCACACTTGTTTCTTCTTGTTTCTAGTAGCTGTATTCAGAAATCTCTGGAGTACTAGTGGCTGCAGGGACGAAACTTCTTTGTTGACTGAAGAAATGAGAGAATGGAGTTTTTAATGACTCTAGGGTGAAGTGGGGGAGAAAGGAGAAATAGACAAAGAAAATCAAGTAGAATGAGCAAAGAATAACAGTTTGATATGGGCTTTCAGGTGGTGCTAGATGACAGTGAGAGCATGGTCAGCATTATCTTCACTGAGAGTTCCCAGCACGCAGAGTCTAGCAACATCCTCTCTTGCCTGAGCTCCATTGATGCAGAGGATGCCTTTGCATTGATTCAGGAAGCACTGGCAAGGAGGAGAGGAGCAACACAGGTGAGAATTTCTGCTTGTCTTTACCACTGGTCATAGGCACAGCTGCTGATGCCCTGCTTAGCTTGAAATGTTTCCATTTAATGGGCCAGTTTCTAGCCATCCCACACTTGGTACTGTATTGCCTTACCAGTCTCACCAGCTCTGTGTTCTACTGCTTTTCTCTCTTTGATGTCTAGCCCCTCATCACAGCTTTTGCCTTCAGGTGAGCTGTCTCTCTGATTGCTTCTTTTCCCTGCTCTCCAGAGCCATATTCGCTGCTCCTTATTGCTTGTTTTTGCTCTTTCCCTGCCCATTCCTTGCAGGCCCTAAAAGAAGAGCTTTCTGCCAGGCAGGACTCTATCAGTTCCCTGCTGCACCAGCACAGACAGCAGGAGGAAAAGTGCAGGAAGCTGCAGCAAAGGCTTGAGGAACTGGAGGAGGAATGCAAGACGTCCTGCAGCCACCAGCAGCACCTCCAGTCTCTGGTAGAAGCACTCAAAAGGTGAGTGTTTCCTCCTCCTCCTGTGTTCTGGAGGCAGTCTGCTTCCAGTTCTGGGAGTTCCGAGGTGGTGTGGGCGAAGAGCTCACCTGCCCTATCACGCGTATGCCTCTGGCACGTCAGCATCCTCCTGTCACTGCTTCCCATGCTCTCTTGTGAATCCCAAGGCTGTCTTGGGGATTCCCAGCAACGTTGGAATACAAGACACCTCCCTCTGAGCATGCTGCTCCTCTGAGTTTTGTTCTTTGGGTGCCCTTGCCTAGCCACGGCTTCTCACTGAAAGAAGGCAAAAGCCTGCCTTCCTTTCTCCGTCCCTCTTCAGCTACCTCATGAGGGGAAGAGCGAGGCCTTCCTTATCGCGCTCCCCCCAGCTCCGTCCTGGAATGGCTGAAGTGGGATCTGTGGCTGTTGAGGTCTCTTCACTCTTCTGATCGAGCCTCATCTCTCTGCAGTGACTGTGCAAGCCTTGAGAAAACCAGGGAAGAGCTACAGCAACAGCTTGAGGTAACAGAGCAAGAAGTCTGGCGTCTGCGCCAGAGTAACACTGAGCTGCAGCTGAAAGAAGATTCAGCCCAGGGGGAAAAGGTGGAGCAGCAAGAGACGGTGGAGAGAGCACGTCATGACCAGGAGCTCCTGTGAGCATGAAAGCTTTCTCTGGGCAGGGCTGGGTGTTGTGGGAGGTTAGGAGGCCCACCGTAAAAGAGCAAATTGTGCATGTGCATCATTTGTGGCCCAAAGCGAGGAAGGGAGCGCGTGGGCGGGTCTGGCTACCTGCTGCCCCGCAGCACAGGTGCCTCCTTGTACTTTTGTGAGCCTTTAAAAAAACCGTTCCAAACCTGAGCAGGGTAGTTGATGACAGGCATGAGCTGAAACGAGAGGTTCAGACTGGATTTCAGGAGAACAAAAAATGGCACCATAAAGGCAACCGTGCAGCAGAACAGGTTGCTCAGAGAGGTTGTGCAGATTCCACCCCTGGAAATTTGGAAGGCCCAACTGGATAGAGCCTTGAGCAACCTGGGCTGCTCCCATAGCTGACCCCAGCTGCTCTGAGCTGGAGATTGGGCTTGAGGCCTCCTGGGTCCCTGCTAGCCTGAATCAGGCTGTGATCCTGTGATTATTGGACTGGAAATTGCAGGCTCTTTCATCTTACTGTTGAAGACAAGAATAGTTGTGGGAGTATTAATCTGGACTTAAATATCTGTCTTATGTGAAGAAGCGCTTTGGTAAGTGTGATATCTAATATATCAAATAGGAGAGAGAGAGAACTAACAGACAGGAAGCTGTTGAGAACGCCTGAACTTTTTGGAAAAGTTCTTTGATTTCTGGAAGCTCGTTTTCTTTCTCAATGATGAATGTTTCACCTACATCAATGACAAAAGAGTGATGCAGCTCTAGGCAGGAAATTCCAGCATTCTTTAGGTGTAAATAGAAAGCTGTTGGAAGTGATTCAAACTGCCACATTTGGGACATAGTATGTAGTCTTGGTTTTGGAAACAAGAATGGGTTTACATTAAAAACTTGTTTGTCTTTCCTTTTCTCATAGACTGAAGGACGTATCTGCGCTCGAAGGAAAACTTTCATTATTACAGAGTGAGTTGGTAATTGCGAGAGAGACACTGAAGGAGTTGTACCTTCAGAGGGATCTGCTGAAACAAGAGAAACAGGAGCTTACCATGGCACTGGAGAAGGTATGGTCACCTTATTCCTAAGTAGCACTTGTGGGAGAGGGAGTTGTGATAGCAAGACCACCACAGATACTGTTTCTGGCAGTAGAAGACAGGGACAATGCTGTTCTTCTTGGAAGATACTGATCAGACCACACAGGCTCATGGGTGTAGTTAGTCCCCATGTGCTTACTGGGAGCGCTGAACTGGGACTATGTCGGAGACACAAAAGGGGATCCAGAGTTGCTGCTTAAAGTCAGGGATTTTCTTATCTTTGTTTTCATGTTGTTCTTTTGTCTCTTCAGGCAGAGCAGTCGGGAGCAGAGCTGACAGGGGCTCAGAATAATCTGAGTGCTGAAATAGCTGATCTACATGATGCAGCAGTGAAGATGAGCAGTATCAATGAAGCTCTTGCACTGGATAAAGTGCAGCTGAACAAACTTGTGTTGCAGGTGAGCAGAGTTGCCGAAGATCTTGCCAGACGTTTTGTCTCCAGCTGCTGCTGTTTTTCAGACTTCTTGCCTTCAGACAGTGTGACTGTCTGAATATGGAAATGTTGTTCCTTCTCCTGTCCAAGCTTAACCTCCTATAGAGTAAATCTTACTGTGTTTTATTTCCTCTGTGCTTCTGTGATTGCAGCTGGAGCAAGAGAATGAAGTTCTGTCAGGTAAAGTGGATGAGATGGAGAGAGCAAAGATCTCTGCCCAGGAGAAGCTGAACTGGTGTGAAAGAACAAATGCAGAGCTCAGTGCAGAGAAAGCCCACCTGGAGCAGCTGCTGAAGATAGCAGAGGAGCAACAGGAGGGGTTGCGGGTAGAGCTGAGGATACTGGCAGAGGAGAAGGCAGAAACCCAAGAGAAGCTCAATCAGGTGAGACCAAAAACCTGGTGCTTTCTGGGTGGGCATTTGGCTGCTTGGCTCAGTGAAGCTCCCTCTGTTGGATTCTGCAGTGTTTTTGTCAAGGAGACACTTGGTAGTGCTGGAGGTCAGAAGTCTTTCTTTACTTCTTTTTGGAAATGTGTTGATGGCTTGCAATTCCCAGAGTTGTCCTCTGCTTCTACTGATTCTTTTAGTCCACCTGTCTGTATTGGGCTCTTTTTTGGCTTATGATGCGCCACAAATAGATGATTGTGTTGTCCATGAATCTGAGTGGGGCTGCTACTCTCACATGTGGCAAAAGAAACAAACTACATAGCTCTGAATCCTTTTTCTGAGGCAAAAAACAGGCCTGTATGTTTCTGTTTATGCTTTTTGTTGTGAAGTCTGCAACTTTCAAAACTCCATTTGTTTGAGCCTAGAGAGTGGGAGGGACATAGCTGTAAGTCAGTGTCTGCTGTCTTGTATTGTGAAGAATAGAAACGGCGTCTTGAAACTGTTGAAACTGTTTTAGGACATACGTGCAACTTTGTGGCTGGAAAGCTGCCTGGGGGACAAGGACCTGTGGGTTTTGGTGGACAGCTAGCTGAATATGAGCCGGCAGTGTGACCAGGTTGCCAAGAGGGCCAGTGGCATCCTGGCTTGTGTCAGAAATAGTGTGGCCAGCAGGACTTGGGAAGGGATCCTCCCCCTCCACTCAGCACTGGTGAGGCTGCACCTTGAATACTGGGTTCAGTTTTGGGTCCCTCACTACAAGAAGGACATTGAGGTGCTGGAGAGTGTCCAGGGAGGAGCAACAAAGCTGGTGAAGGGTCTGGAGCACAAGTCCTGTGAGGAGCAGCTGAGGGAACCGGGGTTGATTAGCCTGTAGAAAAGGAGGCTGAGGGGAGACCTTATCTCTCTGTACAACTACCTGAAAGGAGGTTGGAGCGAGGTGGGTGTCACTCTCTTTTCTCAAGTAACAAGTGATAGGATGAGAGGAAATGACCTCAAGTTGCACCAGTGGAGGTTTAGATTGTATATTAGGAAAAATGTCTTCATGGAAAGGGTTGTCAAGCATTGGAACAGGCTGCCCAGGGAGGTGGTTGAGTCACCATCCCTGGAGGTATTTAAAAGACGTTTAGGTGTGGCTCTTCGGGACATGGCTCAGTGGTGGACTTGGCAGTGTTAGTTTTACAGTTGGACTCGATGATCTTAAAGGTCTTTTCCAACCTAAATGATTCTGTGGTTCTCTGAATTGCTAGAGCCTCTTTAGGCTTTGAGGAAGATGAGAAATTGGTGATCACTCAAGACTCTTCCCTCTCGAATAACTGATTTTGGTACCCTGGAAAAAGAGCTTGGGAGAATCATGTCAGTGGAGGAGACAAGGGTGTTTGTCATCACTGAAATATTGGTTTCATAATATGCAATCTTGGGTATTATGGGATAACTTTGAGACAGTCGTTTCTAATTCTCTGTTTTCTGTTCAGTGAGCAGTCTTGGAGTCTGTGGTATGTTTGGCAAATACCAAGCAGACCCAGCAGAGATGTTATACTGAAGGAAAAAGCTAAAAAATCTCAGTTAATCTTCAAGCTTGAATACCAGCAAGGTATATTAGACAACTTCTTTGTGTAAGACAAGTAAACAGTATTGTTGACATAAACTGCTGGAGAGACAGCGTCTACCACCTCTTTGGCTGCATCAGCCAGACTTTCATCAATCACTAAATGACACTGCCCAGCACAAGGGCTGTTTCCCTGCCAAGCATCACCTCATTGCATCCAACTGCTTTACACACACAAGTAGGTGACACTTTGATCTTTTTTTTTTCTAGAAGGAGAAACCATGTGTATTTTCTCTTTCTTCAGCGAGCAAAGTTCCTTTTTTCTCAAACTTTCCTGAAAATTTCCAGCACTGGAGTAGGGTCTGATAGAATTTCAGTTTGTATGGTGGCAGTTCTGGAAGATGCGGTATTTTTGCATGAAAACATGTAGTCTGGAGTATTTATGTTTGTTGTGAAGGAGCTGTGTGGTCCCAGGCAACCCAGTGTGGCTTGACTCATCACTTTCAAGTTAACAGTCCCAGTGCCTGCTGGCAGCCCACTTTATTAGTGTGGTATTCAGCAGATGCTCTCAAACTTTCGGCTCACAGTACAGGAGCACTTTCTCCTCCAGATGATTCAGAAGTGGCACTGTCTGGCTCTGTGCAGGACTCCAGGGAAAGGACTCTAACTGTATTTTGTCCCGCTTTCAGGTTTGCTGCCAGCAAGAGTCAGCTAGCAGTGGTCTGGAGCAGTTGCGCCAAGAGTCCTCTCGCCAAGGGTATGCACTGGCCAAGGTGTTCAAGGAGAAGGAATTCCTGGTGCATGAGAAGGCTGCCCTAGAGGTGCGACTGGAAGCCGTGGAGCGGGACAGACAAGGCCTTTCAGAGCAGCTGGCAGAGGCCAGGTAAAGGCAGGGAGGAGACCCTGGGCAAGACATTATATAATGTCTGTAACTATAAAGGTGCCAATCATTACATGAGGATTTATTGCATCCTGTGTGCTTTTCAAATGCTTTCACCTTCCATGGACAGAAAACAGAAGAATCTCAAGCAAAGTAAAAAAAAATCATACCATGATTTGAATGTTATTTTCCTGACAGCTAAAGCTAGTGAAGATCTCATGAGCCTTGGGCTCATGTTTATGCCCCCTTGCACATTTCTGTTTGAAGTTCAAAGCAAGCCAACTTGGCTCGGGATTGAGTAATAATTAAACCATGCAGACATTTACTGAGGCTGAAGTTTCTCTCTGGTTTTGGTTTCCACTTCTATGCATTTGAACATAGATCTTTACTTATCAAGTAGTTTGACTATTGATGGCTATTCCATACGTATATTGTGAGTAGGAGAGTGCCATTTAGGGTGAAGCTGGAGGCTCATGCTGAAAAGCTTGAGGGCCTTATGTTTCTAAGCTAACTCTTGTTACCTGTGAGTACCCACCAGTCTTTGGGAATTCTTGCCCATCATTGATGTCTGGGTCTTGTACTCCCTACCACCTGCTGTTTAGAGACAGACATCGTGGAGAAGTTATACAGGGAAGGAACAAGTTTCTGTCCTTCTGCCTTTCTAAGATCAAATGTGACAAGTTCTGCTTTTCAAAAAACCACAAAAAAGTATCAAGTTGTTTGTCCTCCTCGTAGGTGTTCTTTAGAAGAGTCCTGAACTTGCAGAGCTGTAAAAATAATGTTTTAGAATTGTTTGTCATGCTTCTTGACTTTTACACTTTATTAGTCCAGAGTATGTTCTTAGGAAGACTGATGAACACTGTTTTGACTCAGTGTGTTTCTTGATAGCTGCTGCTTCTTTTCTCCTCCAGCTTCTCTTATTTGATCCACTTGAATTATGTTTGGTCAGTTATTGGGCTGTAACTAAATTATTAAATGTTCAGCTCCTTTTTCCTCACCTAATTATAAGATATATTAATTAATATATATTAATGAATATATAAATTATATAAATTAATAAATGGGTATATAAGTATAGGATAAATTTTTTTTTAAAAAGAGATAAATTAGTTATGAAGAGCCTTTGGCAATAGATAACAAAAACTCGGCAACTATTCTTGCCAGATGTTTTCTCAAGGGCCTTTTGTTGTCCCAATTTTGGAGTCTATCTTTTCTATTCTGTTTTAGAGACTGACTTCTGTTTGTCCTTAAAATGGAGCATATTTACTTTGGACTGCCAGAGATTGGCATAATCAGAAATATGTCCTTGTTCTCCTTGAAGTTACATCTTCAGTTGTCCATCAAAGTAGTGAAATCCTACTGTTGTGGGTTTTATTGTTGCTCTGCTAAGGTGCCCCTTTACCCCGAAGGATGAGTATCCTGATGGCATCCCTGTACTAGTGAGGCAGTGCTGTGTATTGGGGGAACCTGGCACACAGGACACTGTTAGATCAGGGAGGTAACTTCAGCTCCTGGTTCCAGAATCCCATGTGTCATACACAGCTGCTGGCTGAAGTCTATGGACGTGACAGTTTGCCTTTGTGGTACTACAGCTTCCATTTTTAAAGAGTGAGAAATCATTTGGGTTCCTGCGTACTTAGCAACACTTAGAGAAAACCAGCAAGTTTTTCTCTTGATCTTAAACTGAAGGCCACCTGTTTCTCGGGTAGTCCTTGTTCAGATGAAGTGAAGCTTCTGCAAACGCTGCTGCAAGCATGAGATTTTACTATATCATCTGATGTAATTCTTTAGTCCCTTTTAAATACAGGGAGTCTGGAAAATTACCTACCTATACCTACACTATGAACAGCATTCAGAAGTCACGAGTGAGCAAGGGAAATACTCTTATTCTGTCCCCCTGCAGAGCAGCTTGGAAGTGCTCATGAGATGAGGGTTGTGGGCAGAAGCTGGGCTTTTGCTTGCTGGCACAGACTTTGTGGGCACAGCTACCTGTGTGTCATAGGACAGACAATAGCAATTCAGGATTTGGCTATTGAGATCAAATTTGGCTGGGTTTTCTGTGTTATGCTAGGTCATAAGTAATGCCTGGGCATTCCCTCGGAGGGGCCTACATTGCTATTTTAACTGGCAGAAATATGCTTTCTGCATACAAGTTTCCACGCAACCCATTTTTTGTTCTCAGGGGTAGGCATCTTGAATAACTTCTTACTAGAATAACTCCTTGTGGGCGTCAGGAGCAGCAAACTCTTTTCTCTCCATATTCACAACTTGTAGGTCAGTGAAGGAGACACTGGAATCCAGCCTGTTTGAGGCTCAGCAGCACTTATCTCAGCTGGAGATCTCCAGCAGTCAGCTTGAAATCCAACTTCACACAGTCATGCAGGCCAAGGAGGTGATACAAGGTGAGAGCCCCGTGTACTTTGTTTCTGGTGATCCCCCTGCCTAGGCAGGATGGTATAAATATAGATCTCTGTCCACAGTGCTTCTGAGGAGTGAAGGAGATGGAGGCAGATCCCTCCTACACTGAAATTGAAATGGCTTAAGGTCAGTAAAGTCAGAACTGTTGTTTGTATAGACTCTGAATCTTGGCATTTGTTGTGTTTTCAGGGGAAGTGAAGTGCCTTCAATGTGAGCTGGAAGCAGAGAGATCTCTAATGAGGCAGGAACGGGAAAACATGGCACAACAACTCTTGCGGACAGAACAGCAGTATAACAATACCCTCAGACTTCGGCAAAATGATCATGAAGTGGAAATAAAGAAGCTCATGCAAGACCTGGTAAGAAACAGAACGCTTCTGAATTCTTCAAGCAAGCTTTGTGGGCTGACTTTAGAAGAATTAATAGCCTGAGTGTGTGAAATGGCAGCAGTCGTCTGTCACAGGCCACATGTTGCCAGGCCAGGCAGCAGATCCGGTGGCTCATACTTGAAGGCGCGTGAAGACCCGCAGGACTCTGCTGGGACTGTAAATGCAGCCACAGATCCAGTGTGGGGCTAAGACGAGTTCAGCTGAAGGCTGGGTGGTCCCCACTCAAAGTCATGGCAGCAGAGGGGTAGGATCTTACCAGACTCCTGTTTACAACAAAGTAGATTACTAACATTGCTGCCAACTGCAGTCAGGGGAACTTTGTTCCTTTCTTTCTGTCCTTTCACCATGGCTGGAGGTATTATATTTGGACTTGAAGCATACAGAACAGGCCCCTTGTTCCTAGTACTTTAGTTCGTAGCCTGTCTTGTGACTAGGACATCAGCCTGCTGGTCTCTTTCTCACCCTGCAATCTGTCATGGTATAGACGGACAGACGACAATATGGGTTGCAGATCAATAATGATCCTTTATTGTTTATTCTCTTATTGCCCTTTTTCAAACACTTTTTATAACCCTTAAGGCAAGCCAGCGCAGTTAGATCACAGCCTATTGGCAGTTGCTTAACTAAGTTAATTTCTATTGGCCTTTTCCATATCAACCTCCTGTAACTACGGCCTATGCCCTAAAAATCTACAGTTGTGATTTTATGTGTTACAGTTGCAGTTTCTCGTGTTTTCCCACATTACTCTAGCAAGCATTGTACAGTTTGCTTTTGTCCCTCTCCCAAGGTTACTCAGCAGGAGCTGGGCATGTTGCATTACTAAGGATACATTTTTATCTGTTCAAGGGTGAGAACCCAGTCAGGATCCACATTCCAGTCCCCTTCAGGGTCCCCCTCCCAGCTGTCGACCCCCATAGAAATCTACCTGCACCTTTTAATTGATGAAAAGGGAGTTGAGCTTTGAAGATAGAGACTGAGAATAGAGGGAAATCCTGAGTAGACATGTGCTAGGAAACAGGCAGCCATCAGAGAGAGGAAGGTAACATCTCCTTTCCTTAATGGTTGGATTTGATGATCTTAGAGGTCTTTTATAACCTAAATGATTCTATGAATCTTCCACCTGCTGACCTGCCTTTTAAGTTCTCTGACAGGGCATGATTTATGGAGGGCCCAAAGCCATTAGTGTGCCCTGTTGAAGTGGGAGGTTGTGGGAGGGATGAAGCTTCACATTTTTTTTGAGGAGGTTGGCTGGGACTTCATCTTGAAGTCTTTTCCTTCGCTCATCAGGCAAGTGAGCAGGAAGGGCACCATTCAGAGCTGCAGGATATGCTGGAGCAGTGGGAAAAGGAGAAGGCAGAGACAGAAGGTGAGCACAAGAAGAAGATGTTCGATATGAAGCAGAAAGTTGCTACCATGCAAGCTCAACAAGAAGAGGAACGAACCAGAGTTGAAAATGCCAAGCAAGAGGTAATGACTGTGAAAGGAAAATTTGTGTGTTTTTTTGCAAGGCTAGAGCTGTGAGAGATGGCTGGATATTGAGCTGTGTGGAGCATGCCCTACATACTTTCTACAATGAATTTGGTAAGGTGAAAGGCAAGCAGGGCTCTCTTTGAGACTAGGAATAAGACCTCTCATAGGAAGCCAGGAAGAAACATCACCTTTCCGTTGAGATTTTTGTGCTGCTGTTGTTATGGTTAAGACTTACCTCAGAACGTCTAAACAGTTCTCTTAATGGTCCTCTTTTGATATTTACTGATACGTGTGTATAGCCTTAACTCCATTAAAGGCCAAAGTGAGTCCATAGGACTGAATCCCCACAAGAATGTTTTTTTTGTCTGGAGGGGGAAGGGGGCATGGCAGGATTGTTGACAAAAGAAAAAAAATTTTCAAGGCTCCTCTGAAATATTTCTGAGTGTCTTTGACAAGGGTGTCTTTGAGGCTGTTTGAAGTCGCTTGCTGTTAAGCTATTTTGTGCCCAGATCCCCTGTGCAACCCTGTCACACAGTGAGAGTCCTCCTCGTGTCTTACCTGAGGTCCTCTTTATGCAGTCTGCCTAGGGACAGCAGTACCCAGATTGTGTCTACAGGTATTGAAATGACGGAGCAGTGCTCAGAGGTGACAGTGTGTCCCTGTAATGTCAGTACTTTACTAAAGTCTGCTGAATACCTTGAAACTGAAGTAACAAAACTTAGAATACATGAGTTTTCTGAAGGAGCTGATAGCTTCAGCCCTCTGACAACCTTGCATTTTCTCTACTGCTAACTAGAAGCAAAAGTCTCTATTGGAAGACAAACAGGACACAGCAGAAGTTGAGGGTTACCTTCACCAGAAAGGTGAGAAATTGGAGAAGTGCCACACATTTTCCTGTTAGATGACTGAGAGTTTGTTGGAGATTCAATCACAGATGGACTGTGGAGGGGCCATGTTTATACTGCCAATCTCACTTAGGAAGCTGTGCCTTCAAGTGGGCAGATAATGACCTAGGAGACCAGCAGCATAGTGCTTTGAGAACGCCTGAGCCCATCAGTCTTTGAGTCTTGCTACACAGATTTTGTATGGGAAGTTTAAACCCATCTTCTCTTTATTTCTGTGCAGGTCCTGCTAGAAAAGGAGCGTGAGAAGAATGTGTTATTAGAGACTCTACTCCAAACTCAGGGAGAGCTAAGAGAAGCCTGCCAGCAGGTAGAGCAGCTCAGGCAGGAGGTGGAAGAGCAGCGAGAGAATGGGCAGGTAAGTCCAACTAGTTTGGGTGGTTTGAAGGAACAGGCCGTTGGCAATTGGATCTAAGCTGAGAGAGGCTGAGAGATCCAGGTAACAGAGTGAAGGACAGTAACAAGGACATAAAACGTAAGTCCTGGGACTGAGGAGGCAAGGACTACTGCAGGTACAGAAAGCAGAGAGCCCAGTAAGCTGCAGGGATCGGCAACAGAAAGGAAGGGTTAGAGTGGAAGCAGAACTGGATAGAAAAGCAGAATGAATCACTTGACTGAATGTAATTTTGAGACAGAAAGAGGAAAAAGCTGAAGCTGATGGCAGGTCCCACTAGCTTGCTCTCCATTTGTGTTTACAGAACATCACAGAAAAGCTGCAAGCAGAGCTGCAGGAAACTCAGAGTAAGATCAAGGCAATAGAGAAGAGGCACGAGGAAGAAGTCAAAACCATGAAAGAGGAAATTAATATCCTTCTTCAGCAGAGGGATGCTCTACAAAAACAGGTGACTGAAACAGTAATAGCTACTCCAGTCATCAAACAGGTGGTCTCTGCCCGTCCTGCTTTTCTGTTGCAGAGCAGCAGGCTGATGGGGTAGTCCCTCTGCCTGCCATCATACTGTGATCTCCATCTCAGCTGGCCTGAAGGAGACTTACTGGCCAGCTGAATCTCAGCTGCTGCCCTGGACAAGTGGGCTAGTCCTTTTGCCTGTTTGACAGCCACCATCAGAATTAATTTCTGCTGGCCTGCTACTGCTAGCCTTGTTTTTGAAGGTGTGTTTTCAGATGAACATGGTGACCCACTTATATTTTTAAACAAGTTGACTGTATCCATTGTGAATCTGGTACTTTCATGACAGGGTGAAATTTAAAGTTGTTCTTTCCATTTCCTCACAATATATGATATGGCTGACAGGGACAAGTTGTAGTCTTTGAGTGCTTTGTTGTGTTTTACTTGAGGTGGAAGAGTTGACCTCTCAACTAGCAGCTTCTGAAGAGTCCCAGCAAGTGATTGGCCGCAAAGCTGAGCAAGATGTGTGTGAGGCTCAGGAACTGTCAAGGCAGAAGGTACTGGAGGTGGTGCATCTCCAGAAGATTCTAGAGGAGGAGAGGAGTCAATGGGAGAAGGTAGAACATCAGAATAAGGAGCTGCAAGTGTGTCTGCAGTCCTTGGAGGGGGAAAGGAGTCGATGGGAAGAAGTGGAGTATCACAACACAGAACTTCAGGCTTTGTTGAAGGTCCTAGAGAATGAAAAAAACAGGTAAATGAAAGTCTGTGCAGCTCTCCATTCTGTTTAATGGATTCCCTCTTTCAGATCTTTACACATACAGGTGGCTCTGGCAGCATTTCCTAAAAAGCAGAGTTCTGAACTGTCCATGCAGATATGTTTCATTCTCCTGATGTTGTGTTCCATTTTCTTTTCTTTCAATTCAGTTTTCAATTTTCAATTTCAATTTTCAATTCTTTCAGTTACAGTTTTTCTGAAGACAGTGGCTTTTGGAATAGTCCTTTCCTTAGAAGGAGGTGTTCTTTTGTTAGGTTGGCATGTTAATGCTGTTAAATGAAACTCTCAGGGGTTTCAAACCTGAAATACACCAAAGGAGGCAGGACGAGCTGTAGTATAATGAGCAAAATAGATCCATCAGCTCTGTCTTGGGTCCAGTAAACGTTAAACACTTGGGATCTGTATCATTCTGCCACCCTGATACTGTTGGTAGGCAAAAGCTATCTTAAAACTACAGTTTTGAACTAAGCCAGATTCCCGTCGGAGGCACCCAAGAAACAAGGATGTTTCTTACTGCCATCTGTTTCCTCGTTCCTCAAAAAATCCCAAGTGGTGCCTGGAGGGGCTCGAGCAGGGTCCCAGCCAGCCTCAGCAGTTACGGATGTTACTGCCTGTCCAAGGAATGCAAGAAAGAGAAAGGGTAGGTAGGCTGCTTCACCTGGTAAAGTCCTGCCTGTCTTCAACGCACATCTTCGTTGCAGAAGAGAAATAAAAGGCAGTGCACTCTTGCTTCCCCCATGAGGGATTTGGCACCTTATATAAGGATCTGAGTATTTCCTCCAAGCCTTTATTACCGCTTCTGGTATCAGCCTTTGTTTTTCTAGCTGAAAGTCATATGAGTGCTGGCAAGTCTTATGAAACTCCCCAGAGATGGCCTGGCTGTCAGTTGCTGCTGTTCCTACCAGGCCATACAAGCTAGGGGAAGAAAATGTCGCTTCATTATTGACAAAACCTCTCCCTTGGAGTCTCACTAGTCAAAAGAAAAATTCATCTCATCCCTAATGTCTTAATTTCAAGACTTCAGTGTGTTTATATTCACATTCCCATCTCAAAAAAGATGGGGTTTTTAGCCAGTAATTCACCTTTCTTCTGTGGAAAAAAGTGTAATGGGCACATGCTTGGGTGTGACTGCCAACCTGGCTTAGGACTGAACAAGCAGCCTAGTTGGTTAGATAAACCTCAGCAAACAAATCAATATTCCCCTTGGTGGTGAAAGTCTTCTTAAGAGTTTATTAAATGGTATACCATGTAGTAATGTATTGCACGCTCTCACTTTCAGGCTGACTCTGTCCCTGGAAGAGAGGGAACTGAGCCTCAGAACCCTGGAAGAAAACAACCTTGCCCAGCACGAGGAGGTGTCTCGGCTTCTTTCTGCTATTCACCAGGCTGAGCAGCTCCATTCAGACCACAGAAGAGAAAAACAAGAGCTCAACAATCAGGTGTTGTGCACTAGCATCATCTTCTCCAGGGTCAGAGAATACCACCTTCAGCTTGCAGGCCCCAAGTTGTTTCCCCTCCCAACCACATACACTCCTCCTGTATTCTGCCCAGAGCCTTTGCACATTGAGGCTGAATCTGCTATGTTCTGCCTGTGTTTTCCCCTGTTCTCTCATGGTCCATGGCATTAAATCTCTGGGGAGAAACAGAAGACTGCTTTGGAGCTTCTTAGTATCTCTGTTTCAAATGTTGTCGCCAGATGGTGTTTCTCCCTCTGCTGGGCACTGAACAATCTGGTGAAACAGAACTGGTTATCGCAGTCTGTGGAAGGAAGGCGCTTCCATCTCAGCCAGTTCATCTTGCATTTGGGAGATGCACCGTAAAGGATGCCAACTGTCTCCCCTTTACTTCTAATCCCAAGCGTCCCTGTCAGCCCCACTCTCCATGCAGGAATGCTTGATCTGCCACTTCACCCCACTAGTCACCCACTCTCACCTTCTCACAGACACACGCAGAGCTTCATTTCTGAGGTTGGAAAGCATGAAAGCCTGACAGTTCAACCATTTCATTGGGGGTGGGGAAACTGCCTTTTGGCCCTTTAGTCTCCAGATACTTGTTTGTATCTTACTTTGCTCAGTTTGAATCCTTGGCTTCGTGCCTTCTCTTTCCAGTGTGCTTTTTGCCTGAAGTCATTTCTCCTGCATTCCTTCTCTACTTCCCTCTCTGCTGCCTCAGTAGCAGCACTGTCCCTGAAGCTCTGTGCATCTGTGTTACAGATACAGTCGCTGCAGGCAGTAGTGCTGGAGAAGGAGGCTGGCCTGGCAGCTCAGGAGAAGCAGCTGCTACAGGATCTGGAGGAGTCGAAAGCAGGTGAACAGCGCTTGAAGGACTCTTTGCATGTGCTGGAGGCTGAGATGTCCGAACTGCGTTTGACGCTTTGTAGCACAGAGAACAAAGCAAAGGCATTGGCCACAGAGTGTCAGCAGGCTCACAGTGCCCGCTGTGAAGCCCGATCCCAGCTGGACAAACTGCACTTGGTTCTCCACCGCATGATCTGGGACAGCAGAGACTTAGTCACTTCGAGTTCAGGCAAGTGTGGTAGGCTGGGTTCACAAGTCTGTAGAGCACATACAGGGGAGCAGGCGGCGGGAGGAGTGGTTCTTTGTAATCCTGATATGATAGACTCATCTTTTCAGTTTAGGCTGACTTAAGCCTTGGGAAGTCTTGAAAGCCTGACATGCCTGCAGAGAGAGGTCCGTGTTTGTATGTGGAGAAATGACCAGCATCAAAATGGAATAGGGCCCAAGTGATGTCAAGTCATAGGGCACGTGCATTCTTCCTTGGGGCAGCGCTGACATTAGCAGTCATCAAAATAATGTTAGCCTGTGACACACGTCTGGCTGTAATGTGAGCTCCAGGATGACATCAAAGGCATTGCCACCTTCTCCTGCATATAAAGAGATCTTGTTTGTTGGAGACCCTTCAATTAAAGCTTGAAACAGAATGGCTTCTCTCTTCAGAACAGGGTCATGTCTGGAGCCTAGCTGTTTCTCAGGCCAGGGACCTCCCTGCAGAGCTCACAGCGGACAGAGTGGCAGCAGCCCTACAAGACCTGCATCAGCACCTGAAGCAGACTCAGCAAGATCTGGTAACTTGTGTCTAGTGCACCCAGAAATCCTGTCCCTCTGCTGCACTGAACTGACAAGCAAAGTGGCAAAGCCAGAATGAGTAGATTCTTGTAGGCCAGGTTGGCTTGCTGCCATGGGGAGAAAGGAGAATCATGACTACATGTACCATTACTTTCCAACCGCCCCTTCCCACCTTCATTGTTTCGGCCTTAGTGTTTGTACCTCTTTGTCTCTTGCCAGCAGTGACTCTGTGAGGTGATACTTCTCTTCTTGCCTCTTCCAGAATGATGCGAGAAAGAAGATACAGGACTTGGAGCTGGAGCTGAGCAAGAGGCAAGCTGAGAGGGACCATTTCAGTACCCACAATCAAGAGCTGCAGAAACAGTTGGCTCAAAGCCAGGAAGGTACAGCTTCCCTTTTCCAACCCACTGACCCCATCCTGTCTCACCAGCGAAGTTCTCTGATACTGTGGAGAAGAAAAATGCAGTGCCTAGAGATGGGAAGAGGAGAAAAACAAGCAGCTTGAGACTTATCTATAGGACTACTAGTGAAAGCTTTTTAGAGAGAAAGATCCAGTGGCTGGCAGTATATCTAGCTGTCCTGCTGGTGATAGTGTGCAGAGGTGGTGCCTTTCAGGTCCCATGTCACCGCTAAGTAGGTGTAGCTTGATGCCTCGCAGTATCCTTCTCCGTATGCTCTTTAAAAGCACCAACCTGCAAAAAGCCTTGTCTTTACTGACTTCCTTTTCCTCTTACATGGCATATTCACAGAGCATTAGTTCAGTGTTAAGCTCCTATGTTATTGCATCCTTTCTTCTGCTGCTTTTCCTAGTTCTCTGGTACCTAGTGCTTCTGCATCTTTCTTACCTGTTTTCTTGGTGATACTGGTTTGGTGTCTGAGCTCGCATCCATAACAAACACAATTTATTACTTATGTAGCCAGTTCTTACTTATGCCTTTGGTAACACGTTCATGCTGGGTTTATCTATAAATTGTTTTTCACATGTAACTAGTCACCTCTTTCTCTAATCTCTAGGACATCCCAGAGACTCCAGGCTATTGGCACCTCTGTATCATAGCTGGACAGGCATCCCTTTTCCTTTCTCTGTCATTGTTTTCCCACTGTCCACATCAGCATTGCTTTTTCATCTCATTTTCTTGTTTTCCTTCTCTCAGACTACAGGAACAGGGAAGTGTGGGCATTGCTCATTGCCTCCTCCACAGGCTGTTGCCTGCTCATGTAGCACCTCTACCTGTTCAGTATTTTTTCATATTCCCTCTCTGAGATGGAACTGCTGATCATTTTTCAGACTCTTTACAGGAGAGCTTTCCAGGCCTTAGATCATCACTGTTTTTTTTCTGGAACATCCATAGTTTTTACTACGTATGTTACACATAATAATATACTTGAAATCCTGCCATTGGATGGGTCCTGCTTGTCCCACTAGTCAGTGCTTTCCCTCTTTAGTTCCCATCTATTAATTTAGTCTATTAGTTTTGTGTTAGTTTCTGTCTATCTTTAGTCCTCCATGCTTCAGGTCTCAGTACTGGTGTGATCCTCAATTGTTCTTGCCTTGCCATTTTCCTAGTCTCATTGAATATTTCCTTTCTTCTTTTTTCTGCCAGTGCACAACATATTCCTCTAGCATTCTTTTGGACAAACACCAAAGTGCATCTTCCACCACAACATTGACATCTGTTCTTTTCTCTGACATCTCTTAAGTCTTCCTGGTCAGTTAATGGTGTCATAGTCCTCTTCACTTTTGCTTCTTCTTCCTTTTCCTTTAGCCTACTAGATCTGACTCTCACCTACCGTCTCTGTCCTTGATTCGTTGATGTCGGTTCTACCTGCTTCTAACACTGTGGGTGATGTGCTGCCATGCCCTTAGCCCTGGCCTTTCGACAAGCAGAAGAGCAAACACATTTTCCTATTCTTCTGAACCTTGCCACTTCTGTTCCTCTCTTATTCTTGGCCTGGAAGTTTCCTTTATTTATGTATGCTTTGAAAGCCTTTGTGAGCTTAGGGCCTGGAAAACACAGACAGCCAGATAAGAAAATGGTGTTTTCTCCGTAGGATGCAAATGAGTTTGGTTTTGTTTTGCTTTTCATCTTCTCCTTCACCTTTACTGCTGCAGAGACACAGATGGCAGAACGCAAGAACAACTCCCTACAAGCTGCCTTGCAGGAAAAGTCCGCTGCTCTAAAGAAGGAGGCTGTGAGTCTACATCAAGAGGTGGCGTCTTTGGAAAGGAAGCTCGAGAGCACTGAGAAGCAAAGAAAGGGTGTCCTGGTGAGGCTGTCAGATGCCATAAAGGGCCATTTCTTACGTGGTTTTTGGCCTTCTGTTAATAATTTTAAGGAGCAACTTTTTCCAGTGGAGAGCTGATTTTGAGTGGTCTTGTACAGGTGCAGTCCAGATCTGAGAAGATAGGGAGTATGCAAATGCTGACCAAGCTTCCCTCATTTTCCCCTTCCACTCATCATTCCTTGTTTCCCAGACTTGCTTGCCTGCCAGGCCAGGTAAGCTTAACTAGCAGAGTCATCACCTTGGGTAAGGAAAGACAGTCCAAAAAGGAGAGATCATTAAAATGACCAGTATCAGAGCCTGTGTGGCAAGACCACAGATCACTATAAGAGCAGAAGGATATTGTTTATCCCAGTGGTTGTTTTTTGGTTTTACTTTTCCAATTGCATTCTTCTGCTGAGTAAGCAGGAAAAGATGCTGTGGTCATATAAACCTCTGTTAAGATTCAGAGTGTTTTGTTTCCTAAATTCTGAAGATTTCTGGCCTCAAAGCTTTAAGTCAAAGTATTTTTCAAACTTGTCTGTATTTACATTGCATGGTTTGAGCTATTATTTGTGTCCAAATCCATATTTAGATTTCTAAACATCTGGATCTGGAAAAAGGGATGAGCAGACAAAGTTTGCTAATAATAGAAAGCTGTTCAACATTGCCATCTGAGAGCAGACAGTGGGGGAAAAAGAGAGACATTTGAGAAACAACAGTGGTGATCCAGATGAACATGTATGCCTGAAAGGGGAAAACTAGTCCTGATTTGAAACACAGAATGACAGACTGATCTGACCATTACTCCCTTCAAGAGTGCACAGTGGGGTTCTGGAGGATGATACCACGAAAACTCTACACAGGAGAGGTCCAAAAAAGTCCCCAACCCTGAAAATGGGAAATGACATGTTGGGGTTGTTCTCTCTTCCCTTCCTCCCTAATACAGAGAACATCATCATACCACTGCCTAAATCATGCTTAGTCTGGGCTTTAAGTCCTGGCTGCAGTTCTGGTGGCTCCTCCCCAAAGGAACACCAGAGGTTCAGAGAAGAGCAAAAAGGAAGGTGGGACTGGCTGAGTAAGCTGGGAAAGACGCAACCTAAAGGGTGGCGCAGGAAGGGTCTGTGACATCCTGAGAGGCAGGGAGAGGGGGGACAGCCCTTGACTATCTAGTACAAATCTCGTACAAAAAGCAAACGTATATAGGTGGAATTATTGAATCTTTTTGCTCGTTGTTTTGCAGGATGAACGGGACAGACTGCAAGCAGTGAAAGAAAAACTGGTACGGGAGATAAAAGCTCTTCAGGAATCACTCACAGCCTCTGAAACCCGAGCAAATACAGCAGTAGATATGAATCACTACCTTGAGCAAGAACTCCAGACAACACTGTCTATCTTAAAAATTAAAAATGAGGAGGTGGAAACGCAGCAGGAGAAAATCCATATGCTCCAGACAGAGGCAGCACAGGGAAAAGCTTTGCAGGAGACTCTCACTCACATGACTGACACCTTGTCAGAGAGGGAGGGAGAAATGAAGTTGTACCAGGAACAGATGAGAGTGATGGAAAACCAGAAAGAAGTGCATAATATGACTCTCGATCAGGTTATTGAGGCCATAATAGAGAAAAAAAGGAAGATTGAATCCCAGCTGGAACAGATAGAGGAGCTGGAGAAGCAGCAAGAAAAACAAAAGATTGCTGCAAGCAAAATGAGCAAAGGGCTGGAAGAGAGAGACCAGAAGATCAAATCCCAGCAAGAACAGATACAGCAGCTGGAAGAGCAGCGAGAATTGCAGAGGGCTGTAATGAGCAAGATGAGCAAAGAGCTGGAGGAGAGAGACCAGGAGATCAGAACCCAGCAAGAACAAATATGGGAGCTGGAGGAGCAGCGAGAATTGCAGAGGACTGTAGTGAGCAAGATGAGCAAAGAGCTGGAGGAGAGGGACCAGGAGATCAAATTACAGGAGGGGAAAATAATGATTCTAGAACAACGTGATGCATCACAAGTGAGAAACCTGCTCATGGATCTTGATCATATGAAAGAAAACTTGAAGGAGAAAAACAGCGAGCTTATGTCTCTGACTCAGCAGATCCGAGAACTGGAAATGGGGAGAGGACAGGTGAAATCTCTGCACACAAGCCTTGAACAGCTGAGGGCAGCTCTTAAGGACAAAGAAAGCGAGTGTGATTCTCAAAGGGATCAGTTAAGACTCTTGCAGCAGCACAAGGAACAGCAAGAGGGGCACCTGCAAGAGCTTCATGGTAAAGTAGAAAAGATGACACTTTCTTTGTCTAAAAAAGATCAAGAGCTTGAGTCGCTTCGTGAAGGAAGCATGAAAGTAGCACTAACGTCATGCCAGAAGCAAGTGAATCTGCTTGAGGAAGTGGTGAGGAAGAAAGACGAAGACATGGAAACTCTTATGCAAAAACTCCAGTGCCAAGAGGAAGAACTGAAGACCCTGAAGAATCTCCAGCTAAGGCTAACCAAGAACGACAAGGTTAGACACCACAAAGAGCAAGAGAAGCTCCTGGAAGAAGCCTGGCCTGAGAGGGAACAAGAGACCAAGGTTCAAGATGAGCAAAAAGAGTTAGAAGAGGAAATAAGAGCTCTTCGGGAAGATCTCCAGCATGTTCAGCAGACTCTCACAAAGAAGGATGAAGAGATCACCTGCCAGAGAGACCAAGTCAGGTATTTAGAAAAGACTCTGACAGGGAGAGAACAAGAGCTTAAGAGGCAGAGTGAGCTCCTGAAACAACTAACATCAGCTTTGCGTTGGAAAGGTGAAGGGGAGACCTTAAAGAAACAAATCCAGAAACTCCTAAAATGGGAGGACGAGGAAGCCGAGAAGAGGAAAGTTCTTCAGGAGAGAGATCATCTCTTGCAAAGGCAGAAGGAGCTAACCCAACAACTGGAAGATGAGCGGAAAGCAAAGGGGAAAGAATTGGAGCGTCTGATTGCTATTTTGAAGCAGAGTGAAAGCGAAGAAATTGAATGGAAAGAGAAGGCACAAGCACTGACTCTTGCCCTTACCGAGAGTGAAATGGCCAATAGGACTCTGAAGGAGGAAATAGCCATCCTTCAGAGTATGGTTTCGGAGAGGGACAAGGACCGGTTTCGTCTTCAGGTAGGCACTGTGATTGACCATCAGTCACCTAAAATATCTATAAAGAATTCTAAAGAGGTTTCCCATAAAGAGGTGGGAATATATGTTCCCATAAATATATGACCTGCTTGGCCAAAGAAACCATGATTTCAACCAGCAGGCTTGCCTGTCTGTATAGCTCTGGCCAGAGAGCATTCACCTGCTAGAATGTTTTCTGTCAAGCCCAGAACTACTGAAAGAACTATGGAGCTTGCCGCTAAAATTAACTCAGGTCCAAAAGTTGGGGGTGGGTGATTGGTTCTCTCCTATGTTGGCAAGCTTAGCCATCACACTGTGGTTAGGATTTGGCATGGAAAGGAAAGGGCACAGTTGCCTGGGCTAATGAACTAAACTTAGCAGAATTTTATCATCATGGCTGAACAGCTGCTACACTGATGGTGTAGGGGATGCTTAGAGGATGCTTTCAGAGATGTAGATTTCTGAGGTACAGCTTTTCTGGTGTATTAAAAAGAATGGAATTCGTACTGTTGCCTGATCAGATTAAAGGTTTCATTGTGCATTCAGAAGGTACTCGTGCCAGAGTACAAAAAGCATGAAGGCAAATTAGTGTGGATTTCTCCAAGGTGATCTGGAGGAGGGCCCCTAGGAAGAGAGTGTGTTGTTTCAGCCTGTGGAGAAGACGAAGGGACTTGGCACTGTCCATTCCTGCGTCCGGTCACTCTCCCCGACTTGGTGGTTCTGGCCCTTCCAAGCTTTATGTGGCCCCAGCTCACGTAATTTCCTCTCTGTATACCCAGCAGGCTACTGCAAAAGGGGAGCAGCTATCATGGCTCTCAGAGAAGAGAGTCCTGTCACAGCGACTGGAATGTTTGCAGCAAGCAGTTGCAAGACTGGAACTTGAGAAGACTGAGCTGAAGCAACTCAATGCTGAGCTCAGGAGGACTCTTGAGCAGGTAAAACAGGCTTTCACTGCCTCTGCAAAGCCTCACGGTCCTCTGGAACACATTTCCACAGAGAGCACTTGCAGTCCTCTGCTTGTTTCCTTCCTTCTCCCAGTTCCCACTGTGAACATGCACTTTTGTATTTTCTCTCTGTTCTGGCACCACATTGCCTTCACAAATGCACATTCACTCCGGTACCACCCTTGCCCCAGTGTTCCCATGCACACACATTTGACTCTTTTGTGTCAGGAAATGTTTTCCTCTTTCTCTTTCATAGTCTACTTGGAGTGGGTTTTGCCCCTGCCATTCTCTGGTGCAATTAACAGTCTCTGAGCAGACATCTCCCTGCCATGATGTCCAGATGTCCTTTTGCTCCTTGTTTGGTGCCAGGTTTCTGTGACTCTTTCTCCTATCTAATGTGCAGGTGGAACGTGAACGCAGGAGACTGAAGAGAAATTATGGTGGTCGGTCCCTTCCAGATACATGCAGATTTCCCCAGCACAAGATCCCTGCTTCGAGACAGGTGAAGCAGAATCCTCCTTGGTGGGAGGAGGCTCTGGCCATATGGAGGAATGATGACAAATCCCAGTGGCAGCAGCACCCCAGTATAGACCTAATAGAGGTTTACTACAGACCATGGCCCTGACCATACCAGAGACTAAAAAGAAATTCTTGCATTTTCTTCACAGGAGGAGTCTCAGGCTGGCTGCAGTTGTCGATTAGGTGACTTGCAGAACCAGGTGAGGAGTGGGAAAGCTCTCATCAAAAGCTGCTGTGCCTGTACTGGTAGGCACAACTTTGCGTGATGCTACAGCCTGAGTTTTGTTTGGCTGTCAGGAAGTGAGTGCACCAAGCGATGGAAATAGCCAGTCAGACACATCTGTTGGCCATGGCCAAACAAGATCCTTCACCTAGGTCTAGTCTCTGACTTGCCTAAAGGTCAGGCAGGGTGGGAGAAGGACTGGAGGAAACTCAGAAAACTGGAACTCACATTCCTGTATTGCTGTGCTGTGCTAACCACGATCCCAATATTGGACTGAGTCAGAGACCTAAGCACTGTATGGACATGGAATGTAAGAATGTACATTCCAGCTACTGACCCCTACTGCATCCTCTGGCAGTGGCATTGTCAGTAGCAGCAGTCACCAGACTTCTCTCCCATGCACTTTTATGGGTCTGGTACAGCCTGGTCTCCCTGAGGATGTGAATCTTCACAGGTGTTCAGGGCAAAGTTCATGTATTATTTATGTCAGTAAAGTGCATGATGCTTAGCTCTGCCAAGCGAGCCAAGAATACTGCTGAAGCCATCAGGGTGTATCTTAAAGATGTTTTCAGCAGGAAGCCTCAGTGTCTGAAGTTCTGTTGCTACAGAACTCAGCCCCCTTCCCCTTGTGACTCTTGTGTCTGCCTGCACTGTGCACCTACTTCAGCAGTTCAGCAGGAAAATGGGGGGGCTTTGTTCAAAGAATAGTCCTCAGCTGGCTGGTTAGGGCACGCCTCTGGGTCTGGGAAACAGCAGAACTGGAACTTGATCTCCCACTTCATGGCAGATGCTCTTAGCAGCCGGTGGCCACTTCTCTCACTCCTACCTCTGGGTTACCTACCAAAGCGTGGGAGGGTTTTTCAGGCTTCCAAGCCCAGTTTCACAAAGGTGCCCTTATTATTTCAGAGAGAAGGTCAGATCCATCCCTGTCTTCAGTGGTGCTGTTCCCTAGCCTATGCATATTGTTTGCTGTGAAGTCCCTTTGATCTCTTAGTTCCGCGTGCACTGCTGGCTTCTAACTCAGCACTGCACATTCCCCTTCAGTGCTGGCTGCCTGAGTTTCACATCTAGTCTGCTCTAGATGCTTAACAGATAAGGGTCCTGCTCGTTACCTGGTTTGGCTTTATGCTGACAGACCTTGGTATTGTAAATCAAATATAGGAGGTTCCATAAGCCATAAATCTCCTTTAGGAATTGCTTCTGTTATTTGAGTTCACTTGCCAGGGAATAATTTTTTCATGGTCCTAGCTTGAGGTTGGGGATGGCATTCCCACGTGGAACACAGCCCTTGGCAGAGTACATGTCACTTTGAAAACAGAGGAGAACCTCTGACCTGAGCTGTTCTCCCCAGAACTGCAAAGCACTGAGTTCTGCTCCCAGTGCTGGCATCTCCTCCACTCCAGAGCAGGCAGAAGGTAACATGCCAGAGCTGCTGTGGCTGCACTGCACTGCAAACCTAACAGGTGAGAGCAGCTGGGTGTCTCCCCAAAAATCTCAGCAGGCACAACCCTGTGTTGCCAGGAAATTGCAGAGCTTGAGGACTGTCAAGGCCTCAGCAGTCCTTTAAGACTTATTTCTCCCCTGGGCTTTGTCCATCAAATTATGCTCTGCTCACTTGGGAAATGCTCTAAAGATAGGAAAAATTAGGGTTTGCTCCCTTTTCATGTGCTAGCTGTCAAATTTTTAAACTAGACCGTAAGAGAACAGTTTTTCACTACCTTGTGTAACCAGTAGCCCTCCTGCTGAAGAAGAACCACGTGGAGCTAAGGTGTCAGCCCACATCTCTCTTTTGAAAAACAAAGGGTTGGGTTACTCAGTCCTGTAGGAACCTCTCTCTTTAATATACATATAATGTCTTGGTTTTGTACATGTGAATGGTATGTCAGAAAGAAAAAAACAATTCAAGTTTAATTGTTGATAAGCAAAGTTCAGTTTAGGGTGACTGCAGGAGCCTGTTGCTCCCCATTCCACAAGGACAAAGTGTTTGGCAGGGCTGGAGTTTGAGGGTGCATCTTCCCCTGACAGCCGGTACTGCTGTGCGGTGGCTGGTCCAAACAGCGTGAGCTTGTCTGAGCTCAGCCTTTTGCCTCTTTCAGGTGTCCCTTCTGCCTCTTTCAGGTGTCCCTTCTGCAGACACAGCTGGCAGAAGAACGAAAATACAAGCAGGACTATATTGAGTGCTGTGCAAAGACCAGCCAGGAGCTGTCAGACCTTCACCAAGAGCTGTCTTACTCCTTAGCAGCTGTGGTCAGGGAGCCTGAAGCTGCTGTTCTGGAGGCAGAGACCCGGAAGCTGGATCAATCTCTGAACCTTAACTTGGCATTAACATCTCTGGACCATCAGTTTCCTGAGAGACAGCCCTTGCATTCAACAGTCAAATCTGCCAGAACTGATGACCTGAGTTAACAGCTCCGAGTGTCCAGCAAAAGGCCTCGGTCAAGTACCTGCTGCAGCAGGTGAACTGTGGCAGGGGCCTTGGTTCAAGGCAGGAGTCCCGGAGTAAGGCAGAAGTTTAGAGCACAGTGTTCACTGCAGGTTCCCCAGCAGAAGCAGTGGTAAGACAGAACTGGTGCTGGCCTGTGTGGATGGGCTCAGTTGTAGACCTGGAAAAGCGTGAGGAACCTGATGAGCAGGTACAATTTCTTCCCTTTCCGAAGCACTCCATCACAGCATGCCTCATCAGTTTCCACACAGACCTTCACATTAGGTGGTTCCTGTCAGTTCCTGTACTTTACACAAAGCAGTTTTGTCTGGGTTTATTTTTTCAGTACACTTATTTCTCCAAAACACTGCACAGGCTCTGAGCAGAGATCTCCTTGCAATGCTGTCCTATTGCTCCTCTGCTATCTTCAGCAGCTGCTCCAGGTGGGCTTTCTCTGCACTGAGCTCTGCATTTGTTCTTTCACACCAGTTCAGCTTCTCCTGGGCAGAGATCTTTGCTCCCTCCATCTCATCCACTTTACCTGACAGAACTTCATTCTCTTGCTCCAGCTGCAATCACAGAAGCACAGAGGAAATAAAATACAGTAAGATTTACTCTGTAGGAGGTTGGGCTTGGACAGGAGAAGGAACATTTCCATACTGTCTGAAGGCAAGAAGTCTGAAAAGCAGCAGCAGCTGGAGACAAAACATTTGGCGAGATCTCTGGTAACTCTGCTCACCTGCAACACAAGTTTGTTCAGCTGCACTTTATCCAGCTCAAGAGCTTCATTGATACTGCTCATCTTTGCTGCTGCATCATGTAGATCAGCTGTTTCAGCACTCAGCTTATTCTGAGCCCCTGTCAGCTCTGCTCCCGACTGCTCTGCCTGAAGAGACAAAAGAGAACAGTTCCAGTGACTGGAGATGAGGAATGCATAGCAACATACGCTAAGACATCTAATAGTGATGCACACCAAGATAAAATATCAACAAAGTCTGTGCTGCAGAAATACCTCTAGTTATAAGTGCTCAGCCTCCAGTGGTCAACTGTGAAGAACATAGGACCTCCTTGCTCAACCAGCCAAGAGGGAAAGCACAGTAGAAGGCTTTTCTAGATACAATAGGGGTTAAACTTTAGCAGTTCTCGAGTCTTCCAATTACGTATACTAGAAATGTGAAGATGGATGGATGGATGGATGGATGGATGGATGGATGGATGGATGGATGGATGGATGGATGGATGGATGGATGCCTGGATGGATGCCTGGATGGATGCCTGGATGGATGCCTGGATGGATGGATGGATGGATGGATGGATGGATGGATAAAAACTGAATTAATGCAGCAGAGCCTGACTTTTCAGTTATCTAAAGACAGAAAAACACTCCCTCAGTTTCCAAATGACGTTTCCTTCTGGACCTGGGGATTATGAGAAACCAGAAGGAATGTGAAGTTGTATCTAATGACTGTGCGGAACAACTTTTGTCTATGTTGGGTACATGTGTAAAAATGTGAAACCAACATGGAAAGAGCATGAGACCAAAGGTTACATACAAGCATAGAACATCCATGCAAATGACAATAAGTGAAATGAAATAATCTCACTGGGATTTAATGTTTATGCAGGCAGAAACAAAGCTAAACAAAAAGGACAAAATAACTTTTTTCCTACAAGTGGACAAAGTTGTGGGTTTTTTTTTCTTTAAAACAGAGTTTTAGTTTTTCAGCATTTCCACTGTTCCTTGTTCCTTCAGATACAGGAATATTGGATAAAGACAGGGAACAGCACTTGTGTTAAAACAAGTGAAGTGTCCAAGACTTTCTTTGCAAAAAAATATTATCAGGAGACCATCAGATGTCCTTTGGGCATAAAGATTACCATGGTCTATGGATATTTAAGAAATAATTCTGGAGTCGCATAAGATTTGGGTAATGCAATTTTTTCTGAGAAAGTCTGTGATGCTAGGGACTTGATTTTTTATGAAAAGCCATCAGGACATTTAGAATGCCAAACACAAGTGAAATGTGGTTTGAATCTGTTTCAGCAGATGCTACCCTAGGATGAGATAATGCACTTGCATCTCTTGAGCGTCTGAGAGTCATACGCTACCTGTTCCAAAACTTGGATTCCTGTTGGTCAATTTACATGTCTGCATTGAAACACACATACATGTCATATTGTCAATAAATAACTCGGTATATCCAAATGTGGCTGTAACAATTAAAACCTGATACTTGGCAACTCTTAAGAAGGGCCTTCAGGCCTACATGCTCACACAGTATTTAAAAATGGAAAAAATTGGAGAGCAATTGCTGACAATCTGATTTTGGTCGCTACTCATTAGCGTTCTCCTCATTAAGAAAGTCACTGACTTTAGCTAATGTTAGGAAACTTGTATGCAACTTCAATCTTTTTCTCCTAGGTTAAACAGGACCTCTGATTTCTGTCTTAATGGAAGGATTTCTACCAAGCCAAAGCCAAAGGCTCGAGGTTTATGGATGTGAGAAGTGGGATGAACTCCTCTGGGCAAGGCCGCTCCCTGCCTTTTTACCTGTATTCCTCTCACATTCAGCAGGTGCTGCCAAACCTCACCTTATGATGAGTATTAGAATCTATAAACTAGTTTTTCAGGCAGATGATTTCTGGTGACAAAATATGAATATGTAAGAATAAAAACACAGATAAAGAGTGAGATCTGTGTATGGAGAAGGAAGCCTACACAAGAAATTAATAGTCTCTGAAAAAGAAGACTTTCTGAGGCACATCTTTCCTAGAGCAGCTACTCAAAGCAAATAAAAGGACATAAAGCTTGAGTGACACCCAATTACAGCTATCATATCTAAGGAGAAATAAAATTGCACCTTATGCATTGCTGGTTATTTTTTCTATCTGTGTTAGTCCCACATCTCTTCTTGTTCTGCTTTCTGAAACAAGCCATTTCAGCTTGCTTCTACCCAAGAGAGAAGTTACAGTTTTGAAGCTGTTAACACCAAGCACACGACACAAAGTTCAGAAGCTCAGATCAGGACTTAACGGTCAGATTTACAAAGTGCTTCTGAACAGGACCCTTCACAGAGTCACAAAGACGCCTGTGCAGGTTCCCTAGCTGGAGATGAAGCAAGAGTAACCCTCAGGATAAGGAGGGAGTAACAGCGCAAGAAACTGAAAAACTGGCGTGCTAGCTTCAGTATTTGAATAGCACCAAAAAATATAAGTATGGACTCGGGTCTAACCACCAGTTGTACAAACATGGTATAGCTGCTCTGCCATGGGGCAAGGAGAGTGGTGCAATGGAACGAACTTTCCATAGTACTGAGACTCTTGTTCACCCCCACTATTCTCTACGGAATCAAATCAGTAGGGAATAGAAGGCAGAAGCAAACATACTGCCAGTCATCACAGCTTTGTGCCTGTCCTGGTTTGGGCTGGGATAGAGTTAATGCTTCTTTTTGGTAGCTAGAATAGTGCTGTGTTTTGGATTCAGCAGAAGGTTTGGTGTGAGAAGAATGTTGATAGCACACTGATGTTTTCAATTGTTGCTGAGATTTCAAGGACTCTCCAACTCCCCACATTCTGCCTGTGTGCCAGTGCACAAGAAGCAGGGAGGGAGCATGGACAGAGCCCCAGACCCAAACTGGCCAATGAAATATTCCATATCATGGAACGTCATGCTCACTATACAGAGGAGGGGTGGTCAGGAAGGGGCTCTCTCTCTCTCTCTCTCTCTCTCTCTCTCTTCTGAGATTGTGATTGCGGGATCTTGGTATTTTGGGATCACGGGCTGGGTATTGGTCAGGGGGTGGTGAGCAATTGCACTGTGTATCGCCTGTTTATATTTTCTATTTCTGTCATTGTTTTCATTTTATTACCATTATTAAGCTGTTCCTATCTCAACCTGCAAGTCTCCCTTTGCCCCTCCAACTCCCTCCCTCATTCCCAGATGAGGGGGGGTGGGCGAGCGGCTGCGGGGTGGTTGGCAGCCGACCAGGCTCAAACCACGACAGTCCCAAATAGGTCAAGTAAAATTATTATTTTGATTGGATTGTTAATGTGGGTTATGATGATAACAGTTTGGAATATTCAGACTTCTCTTTGATATTCAATGCTGGAACCTGGGGTGGTGATCCAAACTCTCTTCCTGTCCTTTCCTTTTCTTTCTTTTCTTTCTTACAGATTTATCAAGAAGAGACCACATTGCTTACTATCCTTTTCCAAGTTTAAGCTGTTTCTACAAGTAAAACAATTTAACTGGTCAACTGGTGTCATTTCACCATAATTTAACCCGAGGGGATCACAGAACCTTTAGGACTCCCTGGGCTCCCAGTCTGGATCGTAACAGGGGTGCAGGGAGAGCCTTGAGGGGTGAAGGGGAGGGAATGGAGAGATTGCAGCACACATCTCCATCCATGTAGGGGGTACCCGGTGTGCATGTTTGGGGTTATCTGTGCGTGACAGAAGAGGTTCCTGGGGGGAGCATGAAGAGAAGAGATTTGTTACCACGGATGACCACATGTCTACATGGGAAGGTGTGGCTGTGCCAGGAGGAGCATCTGCTCATGTGTCTATTACTGTGCAGGGTATCTTCCCATGATGAAGCCTGTGAGGGTCTGCATGGGAGAGGGCAGAGATTGCTGCACTCATAGGATCATAGAATTGTTTAGGTTAGAAAAGACCCTTAAGATCATCGAGTCCAACCGTTAGCCTAACACTATGAAGTGCCAAGTCCACCACTGAGCCATGTCCCTATGCCACATCTACACATCTTTTAAATACCTCCAGGGATGGTGACTCAACCAGTTCCCTGGGCAGCCTGTTCCAATGCTTAACCACCATTCTTCCTAATATCCAGCCTTGTAGGAGGGACCTTGTACGGAGGTGAGACCGGGGTGGCGACCTCACCCTGGTGCGATGAAAGTCGGTCTCCTTAATTTACCCGAATAGCCCCAAGATATACAGAGCCAGACAGTCGTGCGCTCTATGCTTTACAATCTATTGGCTAAAGGCACTTATCACACACCCAGAAGTGCTGTGATAGGTCTGCATCATTAGTACACGTGTACAAACTAAATCTACTTTGTGGTTAGTGTATCTGGGCATTCGAGCAGGAAGGAAGCCCTAACTTGACTTGCTCATTCTTGCCCTTCCAGGTGACCTCAAGGGCAGGATTACCACGTGGCAGTTTTCTGCTCAGAGACTCAGCCTGGATTGTCCAGACCCTGTAGGATCAGTGCATGACCCTGATCCCCAAAAAATCCTACCACACAACCTAAACCTCCCCTGGTGCAATTGAGGTCGTTTCCTCCCGTCCTATCACTTGTTACTTGAGAAAAGAGAGTGACACCCACCTCGCTCCAACCTCCTTTCAGGTAGTTGTACAGAGAGATAAGGTCTCCCCTCAGCCTCCTTTTCTACAGGCTAATCAACCCCGGTTCCCTCAGCTGCTCCTCACAGGACTTGTGCTCCAGACCCTTCACCAGCTTTGTTGCTCCTCCCTGGACACTCTCCAGCACCTCAATGTCTTTCTTGTAGTGAGGGACCCAAAACCAAACCCAGTATTCAAGGTGCAGCCTCACCAGTGCCGAGTGGAGGGGGAGGATCCCTTCCCAAGTCCTGCTGGCCACACTATTTCTGACACAAACCAGGACTGGCCTCCTTGGCTACCTCACACACCCTGCCCTTCCATTGCATGTTGGTGAGAACATTCCGGTTTCTATGGGTAGGCAAGCATGGGTGTTAGTGTTCACACTAACATGCAGGGGCTGTGCATGGCTTTGCCACTGCACACGAAGCTCAGACATGCATGCACTGTCCAAACCAACACAAGAGCTTGCAGCCAACTTTTCTAGCTGCGTGCACTCAACTTCCCATGTCCATTCCTGCATTCCCAGCGCAGATCTGCACTTCATTTCAGTTGCCACCCAGAACTTAGTCTTACTATTCAACTGTCCACTCCACAATCAGGAAGAACACACATCCACTGTCCACTCCACACAGGAGTTCACAGCCAACATCTCTAGGATGCCTACACTCACCTTTCCATGCTCATTCTTCTTGCACACTCAGTTCAGGTCTATGTTTCATGTTACTTGCAACCCTACTGTCAGCCCTATTGCTCAGCTCCCTACTGTGCCGAAAGCACAGGCACCTGCTGTCCATTCCAACTCAAGAGTTTCAAATGAAACTCCTTTAGCCAGCTTATGCTTGCCTTCCCATGCTCATCATTTCACTCAACACTCACATCTCCGCCCTAACACGCCCCTGTCCACTGTGCACAAATCTCGGGCACACATCCACTGTCCACACCAACACAACAGCTCACAGCCAGCTTCCCCCGCCTGCTACACTGCACTTCCCGCTGCCGTCTTTCTCACACTCCCGCTTCTGCTCCACTCCACTGCACAACATGCAGACCTACTGATTCAGTATAGATGGAGGTAAAGCAGTGGCACAGGCCTGCAAAGCACACCTGCATTTGATTTGGAGCTGAAGTTTCAAACCATTTGATACTTGAGTTTCAGAAGAGAGAGCATCTAGCTTTTTCACCCATCAGACTTTCATGCACCAATGAATCTCTGCCTGTATACATTCTGTAGAATCAGGCTACTACCTTTCTTCCTTCCTTTTCCAGAAAAATACCTCTACTTACTAACGCAGGGGCTCCTACATTCAGTTTGCTCCCTTCCCCTCTGCAACCCACCTGGCAACAGAAGTAGCAGCTCCCTGACTTCCCAAAGCAGGACCTAAGTATCACAGTCTTTCTTCCCCACCCCAGCCCATCCAAACAGCAAGCAGCCCAGCTGGAATGCTTTGCAGACCCTTGCACAGGTAAAACCTTGTTCTCCTCCGGCTGTGCTTCAGTGTTCTGGGCCAGAATGGCTGACTGCAAGTAAACCTGCAAAGCACCATGGCTTTGCTGCTTGGCAGCACCTGTTTAGGTCTTGCAGGTCCTGGAAGGCTTACAAAAAAGCCTGCACACAGGTTGAAAGAGGGATTAACAACTGCTTCTGGGTTTAAGCAAAGGGTCACCTACAAATTGTGTTATAAATTTCAGCTGGAAAATCCCTGGCTTTAAAAGCATTTCATTTTCAACACATTTGAACAGCAAGCAGGTCTTTCTCTATCCATCAATGTAAAACCAGGGGCTGCTTGTGTGAGAGAGGAAAACCTGTATTCGCCAGAGAGGTGTTCCCAGTCCAAGATGACTGC